TCCATGCATAGTTTCATTACACTCATTTTCTGTGCAAGTATTCTCGCCTATGGACTCATGGGTGGATATGCACACACATGTACAAACACATACATACACATGTGCACACATACATACACACATTCATATGCATACACATACATGCGCATTTGTGCACATGCACACACTTACACATACATACACACTCACGCATATACATGCACATATATACACACACATGTGCACACATACACACATGAGCATGTGTGCACACACACCAGCAGCCCCCACACTGACTTTTGATAGCAACTGTGGCACTTAAAGCCACTAACAGAGGGTCCTTCCAGCCTTAGTTTGCACAGATTCCAAGTTGAAAGTGCAGTGGACCCTCCTTCAGGCTGACCCGGAGCCTAGAAGAGAGGCCTCTTCATTCCTCCTAAGTCTCCATCTGGCCACTGAACAGCTCTTAACACAGAGTAATTCAGCTGTATTCAGAGGTTGCTGCTCTCCACCACAACCTCAACACCTCCATCACTTCTTCACCTCCACCTCCTCCACCATTCTTATCTCATCACCTCCCTCACCCCATTACCTCATTACTCTCTCACCCCATCTCTTCCATCACCCCTACTCACCACTGTGACACATGTGTGTTTGTCTATTTTCCTTTCTGTTTTAATAGTTCTGCTTCAATGGATGGCCACGGTGACACCGGGGAGCAGCGGCCAAAAACACTGCCATGCGGCTCCTGAGGGGGCTGGACCACTGCTGCCACCCCTGCCAGAGGGCGCAGATGGCTCACTCTCAGGTGCATCCACACAACCCCTGTTGCAAGGAAAGCTGGGACAGGAGGCTCCTAGTTCAGCCTGGGAATGCATATTTCCCCAGACATGAAGAGGTGTTTAGGATGCTGGGCAGCTGCAAATAGCCACAGCAGGCCCTGGCTCCTGGCCCACATGGAGAGTGCAGCTCAGAAATGGGAGTGACCTGCAAAAGCCAGCAGCCTATTTCTGGAAGCACAAAGGCAAGTTCTTTTGACTGGAATCCCAACCTTAAGACACTATGGTGTTTACTCATACAGATTAAAAAAAAAATACTTCACAATCATTCACCTGCAACAAAATTCAGCCATTTTATTACTCAAAAAACACTGTATCTTGAAACCCAGGTCCATGTAGACTTTTGATAGGTAGGACAGTTTGATCACTCTGCCCAGGCTACTGCCCCTCATCTGCCAGGGTGCCAAGACTGCTGAGTGCCAAGACTAGGACTTGTTTGATTTGTGTCAGCAGCAGTATTAAGTCTTTGACTGAACTCACAAGATTAAACTCAGGGCTCCTCTGTATGTTGCACTGTCATGCGCTAATTTTTCTGTAGGTGGTGTTGTTTTTTCTCACCAGCCTCAGTGGCCTGTAGGCATGTGTTACACTGCCACCTGGCGTGGCTGGACCAAACTTCAGGGATGTCATGGGGATAGGGAGGCACAGAGCAGGAATGAAGAGGAAGCTCTCAGTCCACAGCAAACACAGATGGGCGGCACTCGTCCAACTTGTATTGAAGGTTTCAACGTGTGAGGATTTTTATGAAGTAACAGGAAGTGGGGAGGCACTGCCCCTACCTGGGGCACCCAGCAGCAAAAGGCAGAATGCACACAATGGCCATCTGTCAGTAGAAACCTGTGCCTGAGTGAAGTATGTGGCACATACTAGGAACCACAAACACCCAACCACAAGCACATTCAGGCCCCCGACCCCACCCCGCAGGCCCCTGGACACAGGCCTTGCTGAAGGGTGGAGCCTCCCCATCCTCCACCCTGGGGCCAGAGAATTGGATACAAACTCAAAGCTCTAGTTTCAACAAGAGTCCTACTTCATGGGTCTGGCTTTATTATTATTAAAGTATTTAGGAAGATGTAATGCCATGGTCCCTCCCTTCGGATCTTATTAGGAAGCAAATATTTGCTAAATAACACAAATAACTAAATGTTGCTTTCCTTGAAAATGAGTTCTAAATGATACCGTTACCCTGACGGTGGTCATCCTCAAACCTGTTTCACCTCAAACTAAAAGTGCTGCCTGGGACAGCTGCATTTCACATTGAAGTGCCTGTCTCCACTCTGGATTCCAGCCCCCAGTTAACGCGCACTGTGGCAGTGATGCCTGAAGTGGCTTGTGTGGGATCCCTGCGTTCTAGCTCCTGGCTCTCATATTTCTAGAGGGAACCAATATTGGTCTCTCCGCCTTTCAAATTATTGTTAACACACAATCAAGGTAATAAAAAACAAAACACTCAAAAATATGTTCCACAATTGTGTTAATAAAATTATACAGTTTAATAGCTTACATTATATTTAGCATATCATTCATAGTTAGTACAGATCACGTGGTGAACGGCTGTTCACATTAAAGCATTTTAGAAACATGCCCAGATAACCTGGTAACCCTCACCCTCCAGCACCTTCAGCTGGGGTGTTACTATTTTCATTGCAGTCTGGACATTCTGCAATCTTGATTCCATATAATATGTTCTTGGTGTGTTTTCCCTAGTCTTCTGGAGTGTATACCAGGTCTAACAGAGTTTAAACGTTGAGCACATGACACGGTCCAGGGATATTTTTGGATCATTTAAAGGTGGCTAGTTAAGTAACGGATATCTAAAATCATGCCACTGAAATTGAAATGCAATCTCAAACCACAGCAGGTCCTGCAGACTCAGACACCTCCTCTTTACCCAGTCTCAGCTGCCACCACTTTTTAAACTTTTACTTATTTTCTTTAAAAAGCAGAGCAACAGGGCCGGACGCAGTAGCCTAGTGGCGTAAGTCCTTGCCTTCCATGTGCCAGGATCCCATATGGACACCGGTTCTAATACCAGTGGCCCTGCTTCCTATCCAGCTCCCTGCTTGTGGCCTGGAAAAGCAGTCAAGGACAGCCCAAAGTCTTGGAACCCTGTACCTGCGTGGGAGACCTGGAGGAAGCTCCTGGTTCCTGGCTTCGGACTGGCTCAGCTCTGGCTGTTGCAGCTGCTTGGGGAGTGAATGTGGATGAGAGACCTTTTTCTCTGTCCCTTCTCTCCATAAATCTGACTTTCCAATTAAAAAATTAATTAAACAAAAAAGCAGAGCAACAGAGGTGGCATTTACTCTCCTACCCACTGGTTCACTCCCTAAATACCCAGTTAGACTAAAGCCAGCAGCACCTCCCTCAGGGACGGCAAGGACCCACATCCTCAGTCCTCACCTGCCACCTGCCAGGTGAACACCTGCCAGGAAGGCAACTTGAACCCAGGCCCGCAGGTGGGAGGTGGTGCACTGAGCAGCACCCTCCATGCCCCTCTCACCGAGGCTCTCCGGGCACCAACTTATCATCCAGGCAACTGCTGCAGGCTCGGCCATCGCTCCCACAGAACACACGGAGGGGGTGCACCAGAGCCGGGCCACCTCCCATGCCAAGGCGTGCACCTGCCCATAGGACACACACTGCACCTGCTACGGAACACACACACACAACTGACCTCCCGGACAGCACAGCCGAGTTAGCTCCTCACAGTCCAGCACATCCTTCCTCCTCTCGCCTCACACGGAGCCCCGTCCCGCCCCGTCCTGCCCCGCGTCCTCCTCACGCCTCACACGGAGCCCCGTCCTGCCCCGCGTCCCCCTCACGCCTCACACGGAGCCCCGTCCCGCCCCGTCCTGCCCCGCGTCCTCCTCACGCCTCACACGGAGCCCCGTCCCGCTCCGTCCTGCCCCGCGTCCCCCTCACGCCTCACACGGAGCCCCGTCCTGCCCCGCATCCCCCTCACGCCTCACACGGAGCCCCGTCCCGCCCCGTCCTGCCCCGCGTCCCCCTCACGCCTCACACGGAGCCCCGTCCTGCCCCGCATCCCCCTCACGCCTCACACGGAGCCCCGTCCTGCCCCGCGTCCCCCTCACGCCTCACACGGAGCCCCGTCCTGCCCCGCGTCCCCCTCACGCCTCACACGGAGCCCCGTCCCGCCCCGTCCTGCCCCGCGTCCTCCTCACGCCTCACACGGAGCCCCGTCCCGCCCCGTCCTGCCCCGCGTCCCCCTCACGCCTCACACGGAGCCCCGTCCCGCCCCGTCCTGCCCCGCGTCCCCCTCACGCCTCACACGGAGCCCCGTCCTGCCCCGCGTCCCCCTCACGCCTCACACGGAGCCCCGTCCCGCTCCGTCCTGCCCCGCGTCCCCCTCACGCCTCACACGGAGCCCCGTCCCGCTCCGTCCTGCCCCGCGTCCCCCTCACGCCTCACACGGAGCCCCGTCCTGCTCCGTCCTGCCCCGCGTCCCCCTCACGCCTCACACGGAGCCCCGTCCCGCCTCACACGGAGCCCCCTCACGCCCCGTCCCGCCCCGTCCTGCCCCGCGTCCCCCTCGCTCACTCCTCACTCCACGCACCGGAGTCCTGACGCCCATGTTTTCGTCGACTTTGCTCACCATTTCCCTCGAGCCCGCAAACGCCTTGCCCACAGCGCAGGTTCCGGTCGTGACGCCCGTGGACATGGTTCGGAGGAGTCCGCGCTGGAAATCGGCTATTACGAGTTGGTAAGGGCGCAGACTGCTTCCAAAGAAGTGCCTTCAAGTGCTCCGGCCACGGGGAAGCGCTGAAAGAAGAGCTCAGAGTCTCCCGCCTGCGACACTTCGCCCACGGGGGCCTGACCCCAACTCGCCCGCAGCTGCCGCCCCGCAAACCCGCCGAGAGCGGAGCCTCCAAGCCCGCCCCGCGGGACAGCGGAGCCGCCGCCGACGCAGAGGCCGCGTAGACAGGCCCCTAAGGGGCGGGGCTCACGAGGACCCGCCCACCGGCACCACCCCCAACTTCGCTGAACCACCTCGGGGGGGCGGGGCTCCGCGAAGGCGCGCCCACCGGCACCGCCCCTCGCCGCCCGACGCTGAGCACGCGCACACCCGTCCCGGGCTCTGGGCGGGGCTCCCCGAGGTCCCGCCCTTCGGGACGGCCGCGCAGGAGGCGGGACCGAGAGAACTCCGGCTTCCGGCTACCGGCTGTGGGTGCCCCGCGGGCTTCCGCGACAGTTAGGGGCAGGTTCCCGGGGCGGACGCTGCTGCCCGCAGCTGTCGTGGGTGTGCTCGGCGGTGAGAACGGTGAGCGGCCGGCGTGGGGTCGGGGTCCGGGCGGCGGCGTGCGCCCCAGCGCGGGAGCGAGGGTCCGGAGGCTGTGCGCCGGGGGTGCGCCGACCCTGCCCGCCCGGAGCGGCCTGCCCGTGTCCAGCACCTCAGACGCCCGAGCCCGCGGTGTCCCAGGGTCCCTGTGCGGCGTGAGCAGACCCCGCCGGCACGGCTTTTAGGGGGCCGGAAGTACTCTCGCTGCGACTTCCTTTGGCCCTCCGAGCCCCCTTGATGTCCCCTCGGCTCTAACCGCCCACGGACACGCCTCCTCAGCTGCCTCCCGGCCGGCACAACAATCTCCCAGGCGACCCCGCGTGGCCCCAGGCGGCCACCTGCTGCCCACAGGCCCCGGGCCGCCGGCCCTGCCCCCTGCGCGGTGCCTTCACCTTGCACCAGGTCCGAGGGCCGTGTTTGTCAGGAAGAGCCCGTGAAGACAAGTGCTGGGCGTAGGCGCCCCTGCTGCCGCCAGACACGTAAACGTGCTTTTACTGTCTGCTAGCAGTTCTTCCGGGCAGGTATCTGGATGTGTGTCGTTGTTGTAAAGCTTCTTCCTCTTAAAACGCTATTCCGAGGAAGGGGATGTTGCAGGGGTTAGCCTGCTGCCTTTGCAGTGGCGCCTCTGCCTTCTCCCACCTGGTCCAGGGCTTTGCCGGCAGGGATGGTGCCGGTTGGTTGCTGCCTGAGCATTTTCCTTTAGATAAGTCGAAGGAAAAGCTGATCAACTTGCATTGCTTCCTAGAGTTTGAGCACAATGTCATCTGATGAGGACAAACGTGCATTCGCGGTGACACAGGGTAACTCGGACCCTGCCAGTTCTGTCTCCACAGACCTTCAGGTAGGAAGCGCGTCCTGAGTGGGGCCTTCATCTGAGCAAGGGGAAATGGGAGGGAAGGACTTCTCTGCTCACTGACTCCATTCCAGATGGGTCCTTTCAGGTTAGGAATCTCTGTTGTAACTTCCTTTGTGCAGAGGCTTCCACAGGCACCAGGGAGGAGGATGGAAATACTTCTGCTTTCACTTTTAATGCAGATTATCCCGTTGTCAAAGGCTCCATAGCTCCCCTGGCTCCCTGGTGTGCCGCTTGCCAGGACCCACCGCAAGGGCCAGCTCCTGGCTGGGGCAGGTGGACCGGCAAGCAGCCACAGCAGCCATGGAGACACCCTGTATGTGGAGTGCTTCACTTTGCTCTCTTCGGAAAGTTCCATCAGCAGGAGTGTGGGTTCAGATTCCTGGGGCAAATCATAAGGTTTATAGTGACATCACGTAACAGAGAAAAGACTACATGGTGTATCCAGAGTAAGTGACCGACATTGCATTTTGAGAAAAGCTTTAGGGAAATACTTTATGAAATAAAAGCTCTTTTAACAGAATTTGTACATGCAGAAATTGGGAAGGTTTGGGAAACTCTGACCATTTCCTGGGATGAAGGCAGCCTGAGACTGACTAGTGAGGGCTCCTTGCCCCCATCCCCCACCTCATTCCTGGGCCCTTCTTCTCTGCCTGTGCAGGTTCTTCCACACCATAAAATTAAGGTACTAAAATGGACAGCCTTAAGTTGTCTTTTCATCAAGAGATAATGCTTGAAATCCAGACTAAGTCCCCAGGGTGGAGCTGGCATTGTAGGGCAGTGAATTAAGCTATACCTGCAATACCATTGTTCCATATGGTTACCAGTTCAAGTCCTAGCTGCTCCACTTTCAATCTGGCCTCCTGCTAGTAGCTTAGGAAAAGCAGTGGAATGTGGCCCTGACACCCATGTGGGACCTGGATGAAGCTGGCTCTTAGCCTTTGTTTGACTGGGGCCTGGCCACCGTGGGCATCTTGGTAGCTTTTTAGTAGCTTGTCCCTGTTCAGTCAAACTGATCTGAATAATAAAAACTGTGTGTTGTGTTGACTCAAAAATGGTTTGTGGGAGTGAGGGCTGCGTGCTGTGCTGTGCTGTGCTGTGCTGTGCTGTGCTCAGCAGGTGTGGCTCCCGTGGCCATGTGGCAGCGTGTGGGTGCTGTGCTGTGCTCAGCAGATGCAGCTCCTGTGCCCGTGTGGGTGCTGTGACACGGTGCTCACGCCCACCTCTTGCAGGAGGAGTACGAGGAGCTGCTGCGCTACACTCTAGTGAATCCACATGCCGACCCTGGTGTATATCCATCGTCTCACCCTCGGGGGGAAGCGGTGCCTGACGCTAGAATTTCTACGGCAGTTAGTAGCATTCTTCATCATCAAGGTTATGTATATCTTTTAAGATACCTCTTTTTTTTAAAGATTTCTTTATTTGTATTGGAAAGTTGGAGATACAGAGTGAAAGATCTTCCATCTGCTGGTTCACTCCCCAAGTGGCTGCAATGATTGGAGCTGAGTCAGTCTGAAGCCGGGAGCCAGGAGCTTCTTCCGGGTCTCCCACACAGGTACAGGGTGCCAAGGCCCTAGGCTGTCTTCCACTCAGACTGGCACCTACATGGGATCCTGGCACATGCAAGGCAAGGACTTCAGCCACTGGGCTAGCATGTCAGGCCCTGAGACAGCTCTTAATTGAAGATACCACTGGGCTGAGTGATGCTGCTGTTTGGGGATGTGCTTGTCCCCCCACCATTGTTGGCACTTCTAGATCAGTAGGCGGACTTTTCACATTTCAGTATTATTCCTGGCCCTGACAGGGGAGGCACCTAAATTTTTATTTGAACTTCACTTGCCTCTTTTTTTGTGAAAAGTAATGAAACTAGGGCTGCTACCACCTATAACATCGGGCATCTCACATTGGCATCAACTCAGTCCCCTCCTGCTCTGCTTCCAATCCATCTCCTTGCTGTCACATCTGGGGAAATGGCCAAAGACAACCCAAGTGTCTGCCTGTGCCAGTTGTGGAGCTCCAGACAAGAGTTCCAGCCTCCTGGCTGTGGCCTGGCCCAGACCTGGCTATGGGCAGCCATTGCAGAAGTGAACCAGTTCACGGAGGAGTCTGTTCTCTCTCTCGGTAACTCTGCCTTTCAAATAAAAATACAAATCTTGAAGAAGTGATAGAGGTAGAGCAGACAGCCAAGGTGCAGTCTGAGTGGAATGTGTTGCCTCAGCATGCCTACTCCCAGGTGACCCCATGCCTAGGAAGAAGGTAGTCCTTCAGGGGCCCTCCAAGCTGCCTGGAGTACTTGTTAGCATATGTGTCTGGACTTGCAGCTTGGCCCGAGTCTTCCCCCGTCAGATGGAGCCAGTCGTGGGCCACACCAAGCACAAGCTCGAGAGCCAACACAAACAGGTGTGGGTTGAGGGAGAGTGATAGCGGTTGAAGGATGGAAGTCTCTTCTGCCTGTTCTCTCTGTATTTGTGAAGTGCGCGGCTGCAGCAGTCCTCTCTGAAGACATGGACATGGTCATAGCATGCATACCACTGCTGGGCTCCCAGTGGGTCACAGCCCTGGGGAGTGCTATGGACACTGCTGTGTGTTGTGACTCAGTCGTTGGTCAGCTGTGTTGGGACCACAAAAGGAACTGTAGGCCCAGAGCCTTCAGAAGTCCAGTGTGTTCAGAGCTGTAACCCGGGATTCACTCTCTGCCTGTCACTGAGGATGAGGCGTTTGGTTATGTGGAAGCTGCTACCTCCCTCTCCTGAACTCAGGAGGCTCTCAGGAGATGTGCACTGCGTGCTCAGGCCTGATGTGGCAGAGGCCAGCCTGGGGCTGCCCTCATGACAGTTGTACAGTTGTCTCCAAGGACCAAGGACAGGGCTTTTGTTTCCTCTGTGCATGCAGTGAATGAAGAGTGGTTTGGTTAATTTAACAAAACTTTTCTTTTTGACAGGAAACAATCCTGTGATCAGAGAAGTGGGGATTGATGTTGGAAAAGGAAGTGATTTGAATGCTTCAGGTCATTCGAAGACAGATGGTATGGCTTTTCTCGGCTCGCTTTCGTTAATATGCAGCTTATTTACGACTAATGCAGTAAGAGGAGCAACAGTTTCAGTATACTACTTATTGGAAAGATTTTTAAATGTTACTGTTGCTAATGTAAGTGATAATATTTAAGGTAATTTCCTAAGATTCAAAAATAGTAGAATTAACACAAGTTAATATGTCATAATATGTGACACCTTGTTTTTTAGGATTCAGTGAAGTGTTAATAGATTTGCAAGTGTTGGAGGGAGTAGGCATCCAGCTGGGTGACTGAGATGCCCCCTCGGACTCTGTGTCCACCCTTGAAGTGCCCTGGGTTGAGTCTTTCCTGCTGGGGCACTCCCAGGAGGTGGCAGGCAGGTGATGGTTCCAGTACTTTGATTTCTACCGCCCACATGGGGGAACCAAAACAAGTTCCAGGCTCCTGGCATATCCTGCCCCAGTGTTGGCTGTGGTGGCATTTGAGGGTGAACAGTAGATGAAAGTTCTCTCTCTCCCTGCCTTTCACATAAAATGAAACATAAAAATTGAAGCGAGTTCTAATATGAGACTGAGGCGTCTTCCTGGCGTGCTGAGAGTACTTTTCTTGCTGTGTGACTCAGTGTGATGGGTGTGGATCCCATGTTAGAAGGCATCTCCTCACTGGGGACTGAGAACCTCAGCAGTGCCATCTCAAGTTCATGCTGTGTGTTTTAACGCTGACCTTCCCCTTTTTGAGGAATTGGGAGTTGTGCTCTTTGGGTGACAGCCCCATGCTGAATTTTCCTTTGTTTATCCTTGAAGAGAGGAAAGCCCCAGCCCACCCCGTCTTGGTCTCAAGGACCTCACAGTGTGAGAAGTGATGGGCGTCTCTTGTCCCCAAGTCTGCAACATAAACCTCTGATGAAACATTGGCCTTTGTGCCTTGTGCTGTCAGAGTAGATACAGCTCTTGTGCACACAGGCCAGGAGTGAGAGCGGGGGCATCCTGACATACCTGTGTGTTGGAGACTGCCCAGCTGCCTTATCTCTGGTCACTGCCTGCCGTCTCTGTGTGCAAGCACAGTTGGCACAGCAGTATTGTGGTTTCAGGAGCAGGGGAGGTGCGGCTCATCCCCCATGGCATCTGGGTGAGACTCGGGGAGCACAGGGTGTGCAAGCAGTCATTTGCTGCCATGCGGAATGTGGGGGTGGTTGTCGTGCCACAGCAGGTCCTTCTCCTGTGTTCCAGGGTCATCGCCCACACTGTCACCAAGGAAGCCTTCTCACCCGGTCATGGACTTCTTCAGTTCCCATCTGCTGGGCGATTCTTCCTCCCCAGGAACAACCTCCAGCCACACAAATGCCCGTGATGGGGGTGTGGGCGAATTCCTCATCTCTGAAGAAAACCTGCAGACGGTGGAGAACGTCTTTGACCTCTGGAGCTCAGGCCTGAAGGTACCACCACGTGTGACTTCCTACTAGTTGCTTCTGTTCTTCATGGAAGGTGTTTCTTGGCCTCAGCTAAGAATGTGAGAAGCTCTTAAGCTTCCTGAGGACTCTACACAGGATCCCAACTTGGGAGTGTTTCCATCTGGAATGTCCCGGGACCTGCAGCTCTGGGCTCAGAATTTCTGTTCCTTGGGGGCGTCCAGCAGTGAAACAGCTGCATGGCGACTGTGCAAGCCCTGCTGACCTCCTCGTCCTTGCTTACCATTTAGGAACAGTGAAAGTCGGCATTCGGCCAGACACCCACAGCCTTTGTCAGAGCGCCTGGCTGGGGCGAGTCCCAGCCCCTCTGCTTTCTGTCCAGCTTCCTGCTGCTGGGCAGCACGGGAGCCAGCAGGTGAAGGCTGAAGCCCTTGGGTCCCTGCCACCGCGTGGGACATGACACCTTGCTGTTGGAAGTATTTGAGGGGTGAACCAGCAAATGGAAAATCTCTCCAAGCTTCCTGTCTCTGTCTCTCTGCCTTTAGTACTAAACAAATACATGAAAATTTTTTTGAATGTAGAAAATGGTGGTTTTTCTAAAATAGTTTTAAAACAATGAATGTTCACAAACATGAAGAAATTACAATCATGTGCATTTTGTGGGATTTATATTTCTCCCCAGTTGGAGAAATATTTCTAGAAATAATCTTCTGCCACAGTGTCTCCCATTTTCTTCCTTGGAACTGGCTGCACACTTTTGATCATAGTTCTAAGTTCCCCTGAAGTGTGGGCCCCTCGCAAGCAGAATGTCCTCTCTTCGAGTGAATATTATGTATAACATTCGAGCGGCGTAGGAGGGCTGCGCACCTGGCTGTAGGCGGACCACTGGCCTGGGGGGAGCCACGTGTCCAGCTTGCTCATGCCCTTTGCCTGTGTGTTGGCAGGGCTTCCTGGTCCTTAATAGCCCAGCCCAGGCCGAGTATCCTGCGTTTCTCTTTCCTGTTCCCTATTCAAGAAAAAAAAAGAGAAAAAGTACTAAGATGTACTTATTTATTTGAAAGGCAGAGTGACAAAGATCTTCCACCCACTGGTTCACACCAAATGCCTACATCAGGGCTAAGCCAGGAACTTAGTCCAGGTCTTCCACAGTCACGGTAGGACGCACACAGGTGAGCCAGCACCTGCTACCTCCCGGTGCGTGAGCAGGAGGCTGAACCAGAAGTGGAGGGGCCAGGACTCGAGCTTATTGGATACAGGATGTGTGGCTTCATTTGTTGGGCAACCACACTTGTCTTCCTGGTCCATCTTGACGTGAACTTTCATGTCCTGGAGCAGATGGACGAACTTTGTGAATGAAACAGTGGTGTTTTCTAAATGACAACAGGTTTCCTAAGAGAAACTTAAGACAGGCGGAGGTTGATGTCTCAGTGTGGTGGTTGTGAACTTGCACACGTCCTCATTGGTGCTCAGAGGCTGATTGCCCATTCCAGAACTTTTTTAATGCTTAATATTTTTGGAGATTTAGGACACATTAGCAAACCAAACATTGTGTTTATTTTCAGACAAATATTATTTCTGAGCTAAGTAAATGGAGACTTAACTTTATTGACTGGCACCGAATGGAAATGAAAAAGGAGAAGGAAAGACAAGCAGCCCATGTACAACAACTGAATGACCAGATCCGTGATTTGAAGGAGCTGCAGAAGGCCTTCGAGGTCTCCCTGGGGAGAAAAGATGAGGTCTTGTTCTTTTTCTTTTTCCTTTTTTTAAAATTATTTTTTATTATTGTTTTATGATACAGTTCCATAGGCTCTGGGATTTCCTGTCCCCCCCTCCCAAGTTTCCTCCCTCCCCCATTGATTTCCCCTCTAGTATTACAATGGGTGGTCCTTCGTGAAGTCATAAGTCCATCATGCTGTTTTTGAGGTGTTTCCCAACATTGTAGGCATGGACAGTGTCAGAGAGTCCAGCATCCTACTGTCAGGATATTTTCAACTGTTTCACTGGGAGTCCATCTTTGGTCTGGACACAGAGAGACATACTGCACTTTATCTCTATGTGAACATACCAGTCTGTGCTACGCTTCTATTAAACATCCCATTAAATACAGAGCTGGTGAATATAGCCAGAGGTGTTTTTTTCTTACTCTAACAAGTGGCAGCTGTCTTGCCAAAACTAAATTGCAGGAATAAGTGATTGTTAAGTTCATAAAGGAGAGTAAGAAAGAGTAATTTCTTTTTTTTTTTTTTTAAAGATTTGTTTTTATTGGACAGTCAGATATACAGAGAGGAGGAGAGACAGAGAGGAAGATCTTCCGTCCACTAGTTCACTCCCCAAGTGACTGCAAAAACTGGAGCTAGGCCGATCTGAAGCCAAGAGCCTGGAGCTTCTTCCAGGTCTCCTACACAGGTGCAGGGTCCCGAAGCTTTGGATCGTCCTTGACTGCTTTCCCGGGGCACAAGCAAGGAGCTAGATGGGAAGTGGTGCTGCCAGGACATGAACCGGTACCCATATGGAATCCTGGCACATGTAAGACAAGGACTTCAGCCACTAAGCTACCACACTGGGCGCAGGAGGATCATTCCAAAAGTGATGGATTAACACAGGTGCGGCTGCAGGATTTCTTCACTGTGAGACCAGCAGTGTGATGTCACTGACTCTGGTGGTCCTGGTGTTAATACATGGGTCTTCATTTCATTAATACACACAGGAAATACTGTTTTTCTTGCTTTCTATTAGACTTCTGAAAATTTGAGTCTGTAGTTCAAATGTGTGCTAACTTTTCCTCTCATATTTGCACCTTGAACAGAGTGGGTTGGCCGCCAGTCCGTGTTATGGGCAGTACCATGGTGACACAGCAGAGGAGTAGGGGCATGGCTCATTGATCATGGTTTTTTGTGATTGTATACATTATTTTGGTCTTGTGCTTCAGATCAGCTCCAGCCATTGCGGCTACTTGGGGCGTGAATTAGCAAACCGAAAATCTTCCTCTCTCTCCTCCTCCGCTCTGTATATTTGCCTTCCCAATAAAATAAATAAATATTTTTTTAAAAAATGAAAGTCTTTAAAACATCATAGGTTGTTTGGGTGACAGGAGAATTGATACTTAGCCATTCTGTGAAGCATGTTGTGACCAATGCGAAGATCTCTGAATGAGTTGCTGCTGTTCCCATCATGTTAATTGGAATAACTGTTGTTGACAGGTGATTGCCAGCTTGTCTCATGCCGTGGGCAAGCAGAAGGAGCGCATCGAGGTCATGAGAACCTTCTTCCACTGGCGCATTGGTCATGTCAGGTCCACCCAGGACGTAAGTTTGAAAAGAGGAAGCAGATGAAGCTGGGAACCAGTTACCAGAGCTCCTGTAGAGGTCAGAGAGGGTCTGTCTGCTTCTCCCCAGTCGGAGTGAACTGTGTTCAGATCACTCGCCTTTCAGAGGAGCTGGTACCTCAGACACAGGATTTGTTAGCAGTCAGCATAAGGGTTGTACCTAAGACACAGACCATCTGCCACCACAGAACCCTTAAAACAGACTATTGCCTTCTTGATACACTGCAGGCTGCCTAGAGCATAAGTGTTGTAGAGACTTGGAATGAGAATCTCAGCAGTCATGTTTGTGTAGCTTTGTTTAAATTATCCTTAGTTAATAGTATACATTTAAGCTTGGACAGAAGATGGAGACCCATGAAGGACAGACAGACCTGTAGGTGTGAGCGGACAGGTGGCTTCCATGTGTGTTCGTCGAGCCACGTCCAGGTGTTGGAGGAGAAAACTCTTATTAGGAAATAGAACTTTTCCCTTTTGAAGACTTCCTGTTGTTTTCGTTATTAAGCCCAATAAATCAGATCCACATAAATCATACTGAAATGAGTACTTACACTAAATTTGGAGTTATCTGTCACGCAACATGTGAAAATGTATTTTGTAAATTATCAGCCAGAACATGTGGGGCATAGTTAAGGAAGTCAAGAATTGAATCTAGGTCTTCAGAATTTTAAGTTCCTTTGATAAAACAGTGTAGCTTCCTGCGTGGTTGGGAGGTACCACAGAGCAGAGCAGGGAGAAGGGTTGGATCCACTCTGCCGGGGGAGGACATTGCTGGAGTCTGTATGTCACAAAGGACTTCTTTGTCTCCTCTGATCAGATTAGTTGATTGGCTTAGGGGCAGTGGTGTGATAAGAAGGACCATAGGCCTTTGAGTCAGACAAGTCTGGCATTAGCATCTCCTCCGCCTGGGTGGCAGAGCGCAGGAACCTACCCTCTCTCAGCCTTTTTCCCATGCAGAAGGGAGCATTCCAACAGCTTGGAATTGAGTGAAAGTGTGTGTCCCGGTAGTGTGTCGTTCCTGTCCACACGTTTCCCAGCCCGTAGGCTGCTGATGGGCCGCTCTTGCCTAGATCTATGAAGGCAAGCTAGCTGACCAGTACTTCCGGAGGAACCTGCTGAAGAAGGCGTGGAGGGGCTGGCGTGCTGTGGTACAGAAGAAGTGGAAAGACGTGGTGGAGCGAGCGTGCCAGGCAAGAGCTGAGGAAGTGTGTGTCCAGATCTCCAACGACTATGAAGCCAAAATGGCCATGGTAAACTTTTGCATGATCATTTCTTGTTGAAACAAAGACAGACTCACTGTAACTTTTATTCTTAGCCTCCCTGTTTTTGGTCTCTGTGGCCAAGAATAAAGACTGTAAGCAAAATGTTTATCCTTGGGTTAACACAGATAAACTGCATTCTTATAAGATTACTGTTAAGCAGGTTTTTTTATAAATTGGAATTATTCTCTCATTGGATTTTTTTTAGTTAGTATTTTTTTAAGAGTTATTTTTATTGGGGCCTGGCGTGGTAGCCTAGCAGCTAAGATCCTCGCCTTGCATGCACCAGGATCCCATGTGGGCTCCAGTTCTAATCCTGGCAGCCCTGCTTCCCATCCAGCTCCCTGCTTGTGGCCTGAGAAAAAAGTCCAGGACAGTCCAAAGCCTTGGGACCCTGCACCCGTGTGGGAGACTATTGGAAGAGGCTCCTGGCTTCAGATCGGCAGCTCTGGCCATTGCAGCCACTTGGACAGTGAATCATTGGATGGAGGATCTTCTCTGTCTCTCCTCCTCTCTATACCTAACTTTCCAAAAATTAAGAATATGTATGTTTTTATTGGAAAGGTAGATCAGATTTATGTAGAGAAGAGACAGGAAGATCTTCCATCCACTGGTTCAATCCCCAAATGGCTGTAACAGTTTGAGCTGAGCCTATCAGGAACCAAGAGCTTGTTCCAGGTCTCCCATGCAGATGCATTGTCCCAAAACTGAGCCATCCTCTACTGCTTTCTCAGGATGGGAAGTGAAACAGCTGGGACATGAACCAGTGCCCGTATGCAGTCCTAGCATTTACAATGTGAGGATTTAGTCAACGAGCTATTTTGCCAGGCCCTCTCATTGATGTTTAGTGATAAAATTGTTTTTGTGAAAAAAGTTTGGCATCTAAAATGAAATAAAACACAAAGAATTTATGAAGAATGCAATAGGCCTCTTGCAGTAAAATATTAAAAAGAAAAGTAATATCATTATAACATTAAGTTCTAACTGTTAAGAACAAATTTCATAGCACAAATAGCTTCTGCAGTTCAAAATTGCATGCAAAAAAAATGCAGCCCCTGTAGGCTTGGTTGGCCGAACAGTGGCCTGCCTCGTTTCCCTGCATGGACTTTTTAAGCCATGCCTTCCTGTTTCAGGCACTTTGACTCGCCCTGAAGGATCCAAGGCTGTCTTGTCTTGCAGTGTATTTTGGCTAGTATCCCAATCAGAAATTTTCACAGGAACTGTCAAGTTTCTAAGCAGTCTTCAAAAAGACTATTATAAAACGAAGACAATGGAGGTAGGATAAGTCTTACAAAACAAACTGAGGGGCTGGCATCCCTTACAGGTGCCAGTGCAACTCAAGTGCCGGCTGCTGTACTTCTTACCAGCCACCTGCTAGTGTATGAGGAAGGCAGCTGACAATGGCCCAGTGGTTGGGCCCTGCTACCACATGGGAAACCCAGATGGACTTCTGGATGCCTGGCCAACTACAGCCATCGTGTTCATCTGGGGAGTGAATCAGCAGATAGAAGATGTTTCCATGTTGTTGCTTTGCCTTTCAAAAAAATAATAAATCTAAAATGCATAAGGAGAGAGGTACATGGAGGGTGAAGGACAGACTGCTGCTACGCTAAGGTAACCTGAGTACCACTACTAGATGAGGTAACCCCAGGACTAGTGCTAGACTGAGGTAACCTGAGGACTACCTGCTTTTTACATCAGAATTCTTCCTGGTGTCTCAAATCTTATTTTATTTATTTGATTCCTTATTTTAGTTAACTGGAGCTTTGGAAAATGCAAAAGCTGAGATTGTGAGAATGCAGCAAGAAAAAGAACACTTTGAAGATTCCATGAAAAAGGCCTTCATGAGAGGAGTGTGTGCACTGAACCTGGAAGCAATGACTATATTTCAGAGCAAAGGTGATGCAGGTTGGTGTCTGCAGCCTCTGCCATCTGGGTGGGAGTTGGGGCAGCAGAACTCGGCTGGGCTGACTTTCTCCACTGTAGAAGTGAGCTGTCGTAACGCAGTTAATGTGGTCACAGTACAGTGACTTGCCCCTTTGGGATTCCTGGGCCCTGCCTTGAGGGCATCCACACATATTGTGAGGGTGTTGAGACGGACAGCGCCCTCTCTGAACCGGTCAGAACTTGGAGTGAACCCATGCCGTGGCCCAGACTAGTGCTGGAGCTGCGACCGTGGAGTGTGGTGTACTCCACTCTGGTTGAGGAATTTCATCTTCTCTCTGGAGGAGAGTTTATAGATTTTATTTTTACTATTAAAACTGGTTACAGTGAGTAACAGGAAACTGATTTCTCCTTAATTCTCTGTGACAGGCCCCTGGCGTGCTCTGGCTGACACCGTGTTCCCTGTGGGCTCGCTGGCTCGCAGGGTCCTGTGCACCACTCATCATGTGGACGGGGCTCCCAGGCACGCAATCCTAGCTTAGCCATGACACCTAACTTCCATAACACGTTGGCAGTAACTCTCCTAAAAATTGTTTTTAATTCTCTAAGGAAATCATTCCTCTCCTTTTCCTCAGGTGAAATGGAAGGGTCGGCTATTGCAAGCCTTTGCCCACTTGTGTTGGGGTGGCACACACCCCTGCGTTTTGTTAGGGCCGCAGCTTAGCTGTGCCTCATGCACTGCTTGAGGCTGACAGTGACTGACATGGAGCTGACCTGTGTTCTGCAGGGACGGATGGCACCGGAAACAAAAAGGAGGAGTATGGACCTGGCGCTCCAGGCAAGGAGCACCCTGCTCAGCTGGAGCCCTCAGCTGCGTCCTCTTCCATGGCACCGCCACCGCTGCTGGCCCCAACAGTGGCCGTGGCTGGAGCTACCAGCGTCGCTGCCATCTCCTCTGCCATTTCCACAGCTTCTGCCGGGGCTGCGTCCATGTCCTCTGCTCATGTGCCTGTTTCTGTTCTTGGCACAGGACCCGCTGCTGCCGCTGCAACAGAAGAGGTACAATCAGTGCGAGTGCTATGTTAGGAAAAAGTTAAATTTGTCTATAAAGTGGCTATACTGAACCCAGAACATACTTTTCTATGCAGACCATGCCACAAATATTTAATGTGCGGAGTGGCTACGAAATGAATTGATAATGAAGAGTTTAAACTAGAAGTGCTACCACACTAGTTTAAGTAAAAATAACATTTCGGGGGGGCAGGCATCTGTGGAGCAGCTGGTTATACTGCCACCTGCTGTGTCCACATTCTATTTCGAGGTGCCTGCCTAAGTCCTGGCTGCCTCACTTCTGATCCAGCTTTTTTTTTTAAGATTTATTTACTATTTCTTTTATCTGAGGGGCAGATTTATATAGAGAAGGATAGTCAGAGAAAGATCTTCCATCTGCTGATTCATTCCCCAAATGGCCACAGGAGCCAGGAGCTTCTTCCAAGTTTCTCTCATGTATGCAGGGCGCATATTGCATTGCTTTCCCAGGCTGTTAGGAGGGAGTGGGAGCAGAAGTGGACCAAGTGGGATTCAAACCTACGCATTCAAACTGATGCTGGTAGATTAGCGTACTGTGCCACCACAGCAGCCCCCGGATGCTGCTTCTTAGTAACATGCCTGGAAAGCAGAAGATAGCATGGGTCCTGGGGCTCTGTACCTGCATGGGGACCAGAGCGCAGCCACTGGCTCCTGGCTTCCACCTGCCCTAGCCGTGGCTGTTGAGGAAACCAGCCAGGACAGACACTTTCTCTCTCTTGCTGTCTCTGTTTTTCAAATCTTTGAAAAGAAAAAAAAATTTATTTTGCACTTTTCCAAACTACTCAAGAACAGTAGATTTAATTTGAGAGAGAATTGATAATGCTTTAAGTTTAAGGGTGATCAAATTGTGTTTTTAAGGGCTTAGAGGGCTAATGTGTGTTTAAGTATGTGTTTTCTATCACACATCCCATCTTGAATAGGCTTTACTGTCAATTCAATTCAAATTCAAAGTAGGAAGTGATTTTCCCAAGTTCTGGAATGTGTACTTGAAGTGTTCTGTATGCAGGTAGTCCTCGACCAACTGTGTCCCAGCCTCCTGTTGCGAGCCTGCTTGCTTCACTCAGCATTGGCAGAGAAGATGGAGCAGGCTGCAAACCAAGCTCTCACATTCATGCCTGCTAAATCTTTGTTTTATGTTTCTATTTTTTAATTTATTTGAAGGCACATAAAACAGTTAAGAAGAGATCTTCGATCCACTGCTTTACTCCTCAAATCCCCCCAACATACAGGGCTGTGCCAGGCCAAAGCCAGGAGCATGGAGCTCTGAGCTCTTCTCTGGGTGGCCCCTCACCTGCAGCTCCCAGGGTCGGCTGATGTGGAAGCTGCAGTCAGGACTCAGAACGCAGGCCCTCAGGCACCACTGGGTGGTCCTGCAGCGCCTCCCTGCTGCAGCAGACATGCATCCCAGCTTTGGTCTCAGCACACAGGCAGACATGCGAGCTGTGACTGCTCCATAGTGCCCTGAGGTCACTGGTAGTATGCCAGCTGCCTGAAACTTGCATGTATCAAGAGCTGCTAGCTCTTGCCAAAGGCTGCAGCAGTCCCATTTCTAGTACACACCCCAGAGGCATGAACATGCAGCATTGTTCACAGTAACCTGAGCAGAATCAAATTAGGGTGGAAACTGGCATATAAACACAATAGAGTATTATTCAGCTATAAAAAAGAATGAAGTCAGGGCCCGGCGCGGTGGTGCAAGTGGTTAAAGGTCCTCGCCTTGCACGCCCAGGATCCCATATGGGCGCCGGTTCTAATCCCGGCAGCCCCGCTTCCCTTCCAGCTCCCTGCCTGTGGCCTGGGAAAGCAGTCGAGGACGACCCAAGGCTTTGGGAACCTGCACCCGCGTGGGAGACCCGGAAGAGGCTCCTGGCTTCGGAGGAAGATCTTCCTCTCTGTCTCTCCTCTCTGTATATCCGCCTTTCCAATGAAAAAAATAATAAAAATAAATCTTTAAAAAAAAAAAAGAATGAAGTCCTGGGCTCAGCACCATAGCCTAGTGGCTAAGTCCTCACTTTTTGTTAAGATTTATCTATTTTTATTGGAAAGTCAGGTTTACAGAGAGAAGGAAAGACAGAAATATCTTCCGTCTGCTGGTTCACTCTCCAGGTAGCTGCAACAGCCAGAGCTGAGCTGATCCAAAGCCAGGAACCTACCTCCTCCAGGTCTCCCACACAGGTGCAGGGTCCCAAGGCTTTATGGTTCTTCCTCAGCTACTTTCCCAGGCCACAAGCAGGGGGCTGGATGGGAAGTGGATTAGCCAGGACATGAACCGATGCCCAGAAGGGATCCTGGCTGGAGCTCAAGAAGGGTGCATGGAGTAGGCATAAAAGGAAAACAAATGGACCACTATGATTTCAAGATCACAATGGACAGTGCAAGAAAGCTGTCCCCTTTATTTATGCAGAAGCAGTCACAAGCTCTGGCATAGACTTTTTACGTCGTGGTGAAGTGGGTGTTTCCAAGGATAATTCCTCGCAGCTTTGCCTGTAGGGGAACAGTTCTCCACACAACCTTTGTGTTCTCCATACCCACTGCACGGACCCCGGTACTGGTACATGCAAGGCAAGGATTTAGCCACTAGGCTACCGCGCTGGGCTCACCCACTACTAAAAATTTAATTATCTATGATCACTTTAACACAAAAAATGAGCTACTATGTAAATGATACATTCCATTTGCTATTTATTCTGTGAAAGGTGCACAAGGCTGAGCATACATAGGGGAACTTTGGCTTAGAAAGACTTGGCACACCAACATTGTGGTGTAGCTGCCTAAGCCTCTGGCTGTGGTGCCAGCGTCCCATATGGGCACTGGTTTGAGTCCTGGCTGCTCCACTTCCAATCCATCTCCCTGCTTGTGGTCTCTGGGACAGCAGTAGGAGACAGTGCAAATGCTGGGGCCCTTGTGCCCATGTGGGAGACCCAGAAGAAGCTCCTGGCTTCTGGCTTCTGCCTGGCCCAGCCCTGGCTATGGGGGCCACTTGGGGAATGACCCAGCAGATGGAAGATCTGTCTCCTAGGTCTGTAAATGCCTTTCAAAGAGACCGAAGTCCAGCCCTTCCACCTGATGAGACATGTTTGTCTTCCGTGATCACACAAGGAATCGTGATGTGGTCAGATTGTCTTGTTTAGATAGGACAGCTGTATGCATGGCCATGGGACTTGGATGTGTTAGGAAGCAGTGAATGAACACATCTAAATTTGTTAAATAATTTGATCACCACACATTTTTAAAATTTGCTTATTTGAGAGGCAGAGTGACAGAGCTGTTTTCCCTAACAGTGACACTCAGGGCTGGGCCAGGCTGCAGGCCTCCATCCTGGTCTCCCCTGTGAGGAAGAGTCCCAAGTCCTTGAGCATGTGAGCAGGAAGCTGGACCGGAAGAGGAGCAGTCTGAACTTTTGCTGTCCCCACTGTGCCACACTGCCAGCCCCAAAGTCATCCTTCCAACATGAGTCACACTTGATGCATTTCTGTAAAGCAGAGTGTGAACGGAACCTTCTGGGATTTCTCCCTCCCCTTGACTGAGCGGCAGTGTTTACACATCACTCAGAGCCCCCACGTGGTTCCAGAACGGGTCTCCACCAGCTGCTCCTGCCAGCCTCCAGGTTGCTGCAGACAGAAACAATAGCCTTTGAAAGCTGACGGCTCCTGGCAGGGCAGTGCGGGATGGCAGCCTCCGTCACCCCCAGAGCCGCTCTCCCAACCCACCAGAATTCTTGCTTGCATCTCATGACCCTTTCTGAAGGCTTCTCAGCATGACTGGGTAAACCCTAATTAATTTTATATGTTAAAGGAACTGTTAAGAATCCTGAGCAGTGTATAAAATTTTTAAAAAGTATTTTGTACTTGAGAGATAGGTAGAAAGAGCTCCCACCTGCCCACATGCCTGTAGCAACCGATGCCTGGTAAGGAAGGATAAGCCAGAAACAGGAACTCAGTTCTGTCCCTTAGATCTTACCTGCACAGCAGACTGACACCACATCCACACTGAAATCTGGTGCTGGTTGGATGTGAGGACATGAGGCAGTCACTTCCGGAAGCCAGTGCAGCATGCACGGGCCTCGCCTTGACACTGCAGCCTCCTGGAAGCCTGCTGCTTTGGAGCTGGCTCTAAGAACAGCAAACTCCCGGCAGCCCAGTGCTCAGGCATAGGGGGCCTGGGTGTGTGTTTGCTGTCCCCGGCACCCCAGCGCTGATGTGGGGGCTGTGTGTGTGTGTGTGTGTGTGTGTGTGTGTGTGTGCGCTGCTTGTCCCCCAGAAGCCAATGCTCAGACGTAGAGGGGTCTGGGTGTGTGTGCTGCTTGTCTTGGGTTTTATTTTTTCTATATTAAGGTGGTGGAATAAGGAATAATTTTTAAGTACTGTGTTTTCTCCCTGAGGGTAGACTGGAAGTCGGGCACAGTTTGCCTGAATGTCCCCAATGGGCTCTTTTTGTCGTTTCTAGTATGTGCCAAGAGTCATCACATCCGCACAGCAGAAAGCAGGGAGGACCATCACAGCCCGGGTCACGGGGAGGTGTGACTTTGCCGCCAAGAGCCGAGTCAGCAGCAGCCTTGCCATCATGGGTGTGTCTCCGCCCATGAGCTCCGTGGTCGTGGAGAAGCACCACCCAGTCACAGTGGTAAGACCCATGGATGGAATCCACAGGGAGACCACGCGGGGCATGGCGTGATCTCCGGCAGCTTTGTGTTCCCTGTTGGAAACTGATTTCCGACATTTCCTCCGAACAGCGTGAGAACTGTCAGTGACAGTGACATTCAGAAGGGCAAGATGCATAGTGGATTTTTAAGATTGATGTATTTATTTGAAAGAGTTGCAGAGAGAAAGGGGAAGATGAGGGAAGGAGACAGATATTCAGATCTTGCATCCACCAGCTCACCATCAGTGGCCTCAGTCCCCAGGCTGGGCCAAACCAAATCCAGGAGCTTCATTCTGGTCTCCTGCATGTCAGTAGCAGGGGCCCAAGTATGTGGGCTGCCTCCACTCCTTCCCCTGGGCTAGGACACGCATCCATGTGGGATCTCCATGTGGCAGGCAGCAGCTTTGCCCCTGTGCCACAGCGCTAGCTCCCTGGAAATGAATGTTTTAGTTGATTCAAAAAACCATAACTGTATCCAGATACTGACATAGCAAGTATCTGATTACCAAAGAAATTTTCTATAATTTCTAACTTTTGGGTTGTTTGTTTTTTAGCATCACATTTGTTTTTCTTCATTGTAGTTGTTAACATATTTCAAGTTTAAAAAAAAAACTCAGGTTGCAGAAACTCCTGTGATGCAAAGGGAAGTGTGTGGATGTTGCAGGGCAAGCAGGCTGAGCGTGAGCTCACGCTGCAGGAAGGCCACATACAGATTATGTTGTCTGGGAAAAGGAGAATGTGAAAGCGAGATGTGTAAAGACATTCGTCAGCTCATAACATAGTGTCATAGACACAGGACAGCACCGGGTGTCATGGTTGTCTTGTGACTTTGGAATAGATCCCCAGCAGGCATTTGGCAGAACAAACAGCCAATACGCTCTGTGGAGCACATGTCTAGATTCAAGCATGTGAGTTCAAGTCCCGCCGCTCCCAACTAATGCGCCTGGGAAGCAGATGTGACTGGCTCAGGTCCTTGGATCTCTGCCCCCGGTGGGAGACCCCAGTTGGGTTCCCTCGTCCCGGGTCTGTGCTGACTGAGCCCTGGTAAAGCAGCACCTGGGACAAGAGCTGGTAGAAGGAGAGCTCGTCTCCTGCTCGCTCGCTTATACTCTGCCTCTCAAAACAGTGAACAAAATGTTTAATATTACCAGTAAACAGTTTCCCTGTATCTGCGTGTTTATGTGCTTATAAGATGGAGATCACAGCAGTAGATCTCTGAGGCACAAACTTGCATGTTTATTTTTAACCATGGGAAAATTTGTTTCTGTAGCAGTGTAGGAATTCATATTTTATAGAAGAAAAATCAATCCCTGTTGGTGATGTCATCTGGTGTGCCACCCCTGCACCTTCAGGCTATGCCAGAGAGCTGCCAGCCATCTGAGCATCCATGTGCACCTTTGGGCAGTGCAACCCTGGCTCACGCCCAAGCCAGCAGCCGGGAGCTTCATCCGTGCCTCGAAGCACTTGGGCCGTCTTCCGCTGCTTTCCAGGCACATTAGCAGGGAGCTAGATGGGAAGTAACTGCTGGGGCTAGAACCCACCAACCATATGGGACACTGGTGTCACAGGTGCTGTCTTAACTCACTGTACCACAACACGTTTTTTTAAAAAACTGGCTCTTCATTTCTGAAGTGCTTACTGTGACTGCTTTGACAAAATAGATATAATTTTACTTGCAATATTTTTTAAATTACTTTTCTGAATGAAGCAACCTGGTAGAAATCTGGACCGAACACTCCCCTGCTCCTAAGATGCTGCCTCAGGTGGAGTAGGCCCTGTAAGCACGTGTCAGTCATTTGAGTCACAAGTCATGTGTATAGTGCACCTGTGCACATTACAGCACGTGAACAGGTCACACAGGGCGACTGAGTATGAGGGCCTGGGCTCTGGGCAGCTGCTTGCTTTCACCGTGTCCACTGAAACACGGTTTCTTTTTTCTTTTTTAAAGATTTATTTATTTTATTGGAAAGGCAGATGTACAGAGAGGAGGAGAAACAGAGAGGAAGAGCTTCTGTCCAATGATTCACTCCCCGAGTGGCCGCAACGGCCGGTGCTGCGCTAATCCAAAGCCAGGAGCTAGGAACTTTTTTCCAGGTCTCCCACGCAGGTGCAGGGTCCCAAGGCTTTGGGCCGTCCTCGACTGCTTTCCCAGGGCACAAGCAGGGAGCTGATTGGGAAGTGGGGCTGCCGGGATTAGAACCGGCACCTATATGGGATTCCAGCAAGTTCAAGGCGAGGACTTTAACCATTACACTATTGTGCCGGACCCTGAAACATGGTTTCTAGCCATCTGGCTGTACTTGTGCCCGATGTCAAGGGAGCACCTTGCTTCGGGGAGTCCTCCACTTGGGTTTTGTCAACCCTGGGGTGAGCTGCATCAGCAAGAACCAGACCACAGGGTTCAGGAGGAAGCTGGACGGCACGAGGGATGGGGTCTGATCCCACCTGCGTTGCCTTGGCCTTTGCGAGCCATGGGGGCAGGGAGAGGGACATTCCTGAGTGGACACTGGATCCTGTCACGGTGGGGGGGGTGGCAGGGCACAATACCTTGTGGGATTGATGAAGCCAACTTTTCTCTTTTTAGCAGACCATTCCTCAGGCAACTGCAGCCAAGTACCCACGGACTGTGCCCCCTGAGGGCAGCAGCTCAGCCTCCCGGCCTCTGGGAACCAGACCCACCCATCCCCACATCCTGGGCAGCGTTCAGTCCATCAAAGTGGTTGACTGAAGGGCCACATGCCAGGGAGGTGGCCCGTTGCTCTGCCTTCACTCTTCAGCAGCCTCCCTGATGGAGCATCTCGGCTTCCAGGACTACAGGAGACTTTGAAGCTACACCAGCCTTTGTAATATGTAGAAGTTAGTTTAATATTATTTTATTTAAGAAATTAAGTAAAACTTGCTTAATTTTTTAAAACAGGAACTTCATTTTTTATCTTACTGAGCTTGTTGATTCCGTCATGTTTATGAAGCCTGTTTCTTGGCATCATTTCTGAGGACTGGAATATGTCCAGTGTATACCCACTGTACTAGAACAGTCATCAGAGCTGGTGGGAACGGGAATCATTTTACATTGAAAAGATGAAGACGAGGAGTACCACTGGCACTTTTGTCACAAAGCTTTTGGTAGCTGTGATGTATTAGTTGCCTTCCTGGGACCCTGACAGGGGAATCAGGGGCTGTGACCCCACAGGAAGTCTAATACACAAGCCCAGGAACAGTCATGGAAGCTTCCAGAAGCTTCCTGGGCTGTGTCTGACACCGTCTGCCTCCCTCACAGATCACAGTACTGGAGTGCATGACTTAGCTCCAGCCCCATCCTATAATGGGGAGCCCCAGCAGCCCAGCAGCGCCAGACCTGGCCCAGAAACACAGAACAAAGCAGGCTCTGTTGTCACTCCGCCCACAGGAGCCCCCGTCACAGGTGTTTCTGGGTTCAGAGCAGGGTACCGGAAGCCTTGCCCCCTTGGGACAGAAGACAGAGAGCCCTATTTTATTCCAGGAAACAGTTCCCTGCTGCCACATAGTGCTTTTAGGACAGAAAAACTAGGCAGATAGCGTTTTCTGAGCATGGACATGAGAGTTTTCTGAAGTACACAAGTGTCAGGCAGTGTCTCATGAGCAAATTCACACGCGACTTGCTCCCAGGCACATCAGAGACCACAAGCTCCACTAGGGCCACTCCCACCACCCAGCATGACACCTTGCTGACTAGCAAGCGTGGTCTTCCCTCTGCACAGGTAATGGTCTTCAGAGGCAGCATTCACCTCCTGAAAGCAGCCCTGGGCCATTCACCCTGACCCTAACCCTGAGCGGGCTGGGGTGCTCACACGTGGGTCTTCAGCTGTGCTTGGAGGACTCTAGTCTCTGGCTAGTAAGGGATTCTCAACATGCAAACCACAACCACATGGTCAGGCCCCACCTCAGTGAGCAGGTCGTGGTGGGAACCCATGCTCCACGTTAAGAGTGAAGCAGCAGACAGCAGTGCTGTGCCTTCGGTGGTTTTTGCATCATGAGGCTTTTCGGCTGGCCGGGAGAGGTGCAGCAAGGACTCTGGAAGCTTCCCTGCTGAGCAGATGGGTCAGGACCACTCTGCCATCATATAGGATTTGGAATCATGGCTGGGGCATTTGCAGCATTAGGTGGGCAGTTTCCAGTCAGCACAAGACTTACAAATCCATAGATGAGATGCAGGCTGTTCACACTTATCAGTGGTTGGGGTTGAGCATGGAGGGTTTCAGCCTGAGGCTTAGGGATTCCAATTCCACATTCATCTGGGTAGCATGTGGTCACTATGTCATTCTACCACCAAGTGGCAATACATGCCAATGGGTCTACTTCTGGTCCTTTCCATTTATATGTGATGTAAGCCAAATGACAACCAGATCCAAACCCAGAGTCACTGAGGAGAGGCAGCTGGCACGGTGACATCCAAGGCATGCTGTAATGATTGGCAAACCCCAGTCCCAGGGAGGGAAGCCAAGGGTCTGACAGCCTGAACAGCAGCAACAGGCCCAGGGATTTATGGCGACTCCACAGCAAAAGTGTCTCTAAAACTCCTGGGTCGCCACACTGTAGATCTGCTGCCATCGCCAGCCTAAGATGTGGTACGTAGACCCTCCTAGATGATCACATGTCTGCATTAAGTGACAGATGGACAACAGCCTTAAGCAAAACCTACATGGGTATCTGGGAGGTGTACAGTGTTGCTCCTCGTCCATCTGTGCAAGGCCCTGGTCAGCACCGTCCCAGGGTTGGGAGGAAAGTTAGTGCCAACAGAAGACATTTACGGCCTAAGAGGAGCAGAATTTAAAAGAAAGTCATGGAACAACTTCTTTCAGAATTTATGAAACTGTGCATTTCCTGGAGTTCGAGTTGGTTCCATTTTTTAATTGACGAGTCTTTTCTGGAAAAAGTAGATTTGTTATGAAGAGTGATGTTCCGTAACGGCTGGCCTTTTTAGGCACTCTGCCCGCAAGGTCTAGTACCCCTTCATCTCTAACGTCCATTAGCTATAAAGAGCACATCTTGAGCTCCTGCCCTACCTGTTCCTGTGAGCACTGGTGGAATGGTGGCATGGCCAGTCAGTCCTGGGCCCCAAGGAGAACCCACGGGCCCTGCAACCCTCAGGGTGGGCTTGGAGGCCAGCACAGGAGACTGTAAAGCCGAGAGCAGGCCTCAGGGTGACCACAGGCAGTTTCTGGTCTCGACTACTATCTGGAATGCTTTCAGGTTGGCCCAATTCACTCACTTGTGTCCCCAGCGGCCATCTACTTGACCCAGCAGTGGTGCTGGCATAATGGTTTGCCAGCTGATTTACTGCTGTGTTATGAAAGTGGCCAATAGTTGTCACGGTGGCTCTTACCCCAGGAGCTGACAAAGTGCTAGCAGCTCTGAAGGAAACATTCAGACATGGAAAGAGTGGCCTTGGCTACCTGCATCTAGGGCAGGAACACTGCCCCCCTCCATGCACTTCTGCAGACAGCCAGGAGGGGGCGACACGGACAGCCATCAGCTCTGACAGGTGTGCCTTGGTCCCCCTGCTCAGCATTCTACAGGAGCTGGCCCTGGAGGGACCTCTGCTAATTGACTGATACTTCTGACCATTACCTCCATGTCTACCATAGGAGGGGCTCCCACCTGTGGAGAACTCACCGGCCAGTTCTGGGAGGCCTGCACGCACCAACGCCTCATGCAGGTGCTTGGCAGGGTGGGGTTGCATGAGCCAGGACCCGTGCAGCCAGATGAGCAGGGCCCTGTGGCCATGTTCACGGAAGCTCTCCTTCCCTGAACAGACACCAAGGTGACACACTGTGAGGGAAGGTGCTGTGACCACAGTTCTTGGGGATCTGCTGGCTCACTCCCCACTGCCCACAACATCCAGGCCTGAGCCAGGCTGAAGCCACAACCAGGAACTCGGTTCACATCTTAGGTGTGGGCAGCAGGGACCCCAGTGCTTGAGGCACTCTGCTGCCTCCTGGGGTACACACTAGCAGGGTGCCGGAATCAGAAGTGGAGGCAGGGCTGGGAGCCAGGCTTCCCACTCAGGATTGGACACACCACAAATGGCTGCCCCCCACTGACCTCACATGCCATCATTAGCCCACAGGCTCTCACCAAACTGCACTGTGATTGGACTGTGAGTAGACTGTCCCCACCCTGCCATTCTCTGAATATGATTGTTGCCACGAAAACTTAAGTTGAGGCTTAATCTCCAGAGTGATGGTACTAAGGCTGTGGGGCCTGGGAGAGGCTGGCCAGGTACTCAAAGAGGTCTCAACGTGTCCTGTAGGCATCTTGCTCCTGTGTGGGAGCAGGACAGGTTATAAAGTGAGGCCCATGAGCCTCTTCAGGTCCTATGTGCTCTCCCCCACATGATGCCACGAGGACGTCTCCTGGTGGGTCCAACATGCACAGAGCAACCTCCTGTGGTGACAGCCATGCGGGGTGCCTTGAATAGCAGGCTCTGCCCCATCACTGGCTCTCTGTGTGAAACCTGAGGCTACACCATATCCCACAAGAAGCCTGACCACTATAGCTAGTTTACAGGATTTCTCCTGAAGCGGTCAGCTTCTTGATCATGCAGCAGACTTGTTCACACTAGGACAATCTCAGGGACACTAGTGCCTTAAGTCCTTGCTACCTGCTTGACACACAACCTAACTCCACCTTCCACATAGGGTGATGAGAAGCCAGCAGTGGCTTACTTCCCTCCCCTACATGTTCCCATGCACCCATGAAAACCCAAGCCAACCACCCCAATTCTAGGCTATGAAGCCTGTGGTTTTACCTGACATCCCTGCCCTTATTGACCCTACCAGGAAAGCCTCCTGCCTGCATGGTCCAGGCTGCACTCACCCACCCACTGCTGCTCGATGGCTCTGATCTGCTCCTCTGTGAAGTCCCAGCACCGGGCCAGCCTCTGCCACTCGCGGGGCCTGAGCTGCCGGTAAGCCAGGTCCCAGAGCAGTGTACGCATGGGCCTCGTCTCCAGGCTGTGGTCCTGCTTGAATGTCACAGGGCCCAGGGTGTCAGGGTCCTCACCATGCTCCTGAGAGGAAGAGGAAATGGCTGTCAGGGTTCTCTGTGAATCAAGGGTGTTCCAGACTTGGTGGTTGGGCAGGCAAGACTACTGCCAGTGTTCTTGCTCTGTCAATGTGTGTCACCAGGGCTCACAGGCACGGAGAGGGCTCACAGGAATGGATGACTCAGGGAAATGGACAGGGCTCACAGGCAGAGAGGGCTCACAGGAATGGATAGGGCTCACAGGCACGGATGGAGCTCACAGGAATGGATGGGGCTCACGGGCACGGACGGAGCTCACAGGAATGGATGGGACTCAGGGGAACAGACAGGGCTCACAAGAACAGACGGGGCTCACAGGGCTGTACTCCTTGCTGCCGCTGGAGATGGGCCCGCAAGGCAGAACACAGGGTGGGTCCCTAGGCAGGTGCCCTTGGTGGTCTTGGTGGTGGTCTTACTTTCAGCCATACTTCATCGGTTCTTCTGACCCTCACTAGGAGCTTCCAGGGAATCCAGATGGGTTGCCTTCTTACCACAACCAACATGACCCCAAAGCTAGCCCCTCCAGCAAGCAGGAGAGAGAATGTGGGTGGTGGGGAGGACAGGAGCAGACATTATCCTAGCCACAGCAGCTAAACGTAACCCTAAGCATCCATAAACAAGATACATCATGGAAAACACACACACACACACACACAGATGGGTTTCAAAAGATTTTTGTACCAAAATAAATAATTCATTGTTTAGGAACATCTGAAGGACCCATGGGGCCCAGATTGCTACTGTTGGCTGGCTTTGCAGAGCTTCCCAGCTGCAAACCAAAGCTCTTGGGGAACAACCCCATGCAGCCAGTGCTGCAGGCCCCAGGAATGCCTGTCCTGCAGGTGCCCCGTGCGACAGGGCAGGTCAGTGGCCAGCAAGCGGGACACACTGCCCCACAGGGCAAAGGGCTTACCACTGACCCTAGGCTCACTTTTCATGTATGCTGACTTCTATTTTTGTCTTCTCTGAAATAAAAGTGAGTCTTAAGGAAAGACAGTTCCGAGTCACTAGACGGGAGTCGTTACTGGGACAACAAAACAGCCAGAAACGTGGGATCCTGGATGGCAGAGCCTGTGGCCCAAACTTAGCTTAGCTGAAGAACTGGCATTAGCCGCCTCCCCTGGGGGCTCCAGGCCGAGGAGAAGAGCCAGGTCCTGTCTTGGGCCTGGTATTCATGTACAGAAATGGGGGTGGGAAGGGAGGGTGAGGGTCTGGATTCCTGTCAGGCTTGGCACATGGAGACAGGTACATTTTGCTTTAAGAATTTATGAGGAATGCACCCAGACCACAGTGGAAGAAGCAATGTTTGCCCTCACAGGGGCAGACACAGTGGGCATCGGGACCGGAATTCCAGCCCTGACATACTGGACGGAAAGCAGCACAGCCAGGCAACCAAGCTGGTATCTGGGGTGGCATCTTAGCCTGAGGGCACAGGCCTGACCTGGAGGGGAGGGAGCCTCTTGGCCATAGCAACAGGAGCTGCACTCCCCTGTCCCCACGTCAGAGGAAAAGAACACGATTGGCAGGCTCCCCTGTGCTCAGACACTTGGGCACAAAAGCAGGAAAACAGCTGACCCCAGGTGGCCAGAGAAGACAGATTGTACCGCAAGGCCAGGCTCACCTGTCTCCAAGCGTAGAATCTTTCTGCCTTGATGATCATGTCCACCACCAGGCTGTGGCTGCTCCTGGAGGCCACAGCCAGGGCCGTCCTTCCCTGCTGAGACACAGAAGCCAGTGTCAAGCCTGCCAGCACAAGCAGCCCCGTAAGAACCTGGCTCCTGTGAGGCGATGATGTGACAAAGCACAGGAGGTCCTGAGTATCTCATGGCTCCTTGCTGATCAGCTGGGAACCTAAGGCTGCCCAGCACATGACGTTGCAGGAGGCCCCTGCACCCTGAGAAGTGTCCATAGGGAAGAGGGATGTGCTCTCCCCACATTCCTCCCAGGGTGGTAGGGGATGCTGACTGCTTGCCGTAGCACTAACAGCCACATCAGACTGGGGAGTGGATGCTCTGTTTTGATGATTGTTGGTCATAAGGAAGGACAGGGCTGGGTGTTACTAAGGAAGGCACTGGGATGGCAGTATGGCTGCCCGCAGCAAGGGTTCAGCTCTCTGGGCTCCTGACAGAGCTGCCTCCGACTGGCAGCCAGGATGGTATAACTGGTTATCAAACAGAGTGAGCAAGAGGGCTCTCACAAGCGTAGAATTATGCAGCTGGATGCTCACCCACACCCTGAGGTGGGAAGCAGGTGGCTCAGGGGCAGCAGGGGACGCTCATGCTAAGTGTGACGAGTCAGAGACACAAAGGCTGAGTGATTGCTCACACGTGTGGCACCTGCAGGCTGTCAACAGGGGACACCAGTGGGCAGGTTCTCTGTAAACATTACTGGTGAGGGCCACCTTGAAAATGTCTGCACCATGTGCATCTACAGTGATTTTGAGCACTTGATAACTAGTATTTGAAAGCCACAGATTTTCTTACTCTGAACAACTCTTAGGGTTAGCATCAAAATGGGGTCAAGTTGAATGTTATGACCAGAGGTGTGTGAAGACGCAGTTAGTCCCGTCCCCCAGGCCACATCCACACAGTCACCAGCCAGCAGGCCTGTGCATGCAGTCACCTTGTCCACAGCCTTCAGGTCACAGCCCGCCTGCAGCAGCATCTCCACCAGTTCCACGTCCCCAAGGTCAGCAGCCACGTGCAGGGGCGTCTGCTGCCTCTGCCATGGGAGATAAAGAAAACCTCAGTGAGGAGGGTGCAGGCGTGAGCTGCCACTGCTTGTCCCAGGCCGCTGTGAAGGAGCTGGCTCAAGCGGAGCAGGGACTGGTACTGTGGTGTACTAGGTTAAGCCTCCATTTGGTACTGGCATTTATGGTGCCAGTTCAAGTCTTATCTGTTCCTCTTCCAGTCCAGCTCCCTGCTAATGCACCTGGGAAAGCAGCAGAGGATTGTCCAAGCCCTTGGGACCCAGCATCCAAGTGGGAGACCCAGAAGAAGTACTGGGCTCCTGGCTTTGGACCAGTGCAGCTCCAGCCATTGCAGCCTTTTGGGGGAGTGAACCATAGATAGATGATTTTTCTATCACTCCTTCTCTCTTAGTAAATCTACCTTTCAAATAAAAATTTTTTTTTTCAAAAAAGTGGAGCAACTGGGACATGAACCAGTATCTACATGGGATTGCTGGAGCTGCAGACATCAGCTTTAGCCACTATGCCACAGCATCCCCTGCCTGTTCATTATGACAGACACGCTGCCCAGTTAACCCTTGCTACCTTGCTTATGACTTTTCTGTCTCATGCCTGAAGACAGTATTTGTATGGCAGGTACCTCTGCTAACACCTCCAGGTCACTGATGCCCCCACTGACTACACCAGCGAGGCACAGGGCCACAGCACCACATGGCAGGGCCAATACCCATAATACTCTGCCTCACTGAAGACAAACAGGGCTGGGAGAGCACCTGCCCTGCTGACTCGTGTTTTCTGATCTTAAATGAGCCTTGTTTGACAAGTACCCTCCTGGGCTAACACGACAGCTTGTCAGGTCCAAGCTGAAACTGTAGACAGGCGTCACACACACTCATGCATACACACCCTCTGAGATGGGGCGGGTCCAAGATGTTACCCTAGGAGGGATGCGAAGCTCTGGAGCCAGATGGGGGTTGGAGGAGCCCACAGGGACTCTGCTGAGGGTAGGGTGCTAGGGGTGGCAGTTGGTCTCCCTCCGTGTCTGCCCCACCTCCATGCCACTTGCCTCTCCACCTAAAGGAGCCCTTTCTCAGAGAGCTTTGCTCCTGCTGCAGTTGGACTTCCCAATGACTTCTAACTCCAAGAGGTTATTTTTGCCTTGGGCAGGGGAAGCCACATTTGCCTCCCAAGCAGAGAGGGCTCCCCTGAGTTGGAATAGGGCATATATGGGGTGAGGGGTTGGGGCAGGGGGCAGCTGTTGATCTGGGTCTCTGAGGAGTTCCTGCTGAGCTGCTTGTCCAGGGCACCCGTGAGCCAGACTGTCTATTGGGTGGGAATGTGTTGCCCTGGGCTCTTCCAAGCCCCTGTGTGTACATCTGTGTCTGCATGGGAAGAGGGGGACTTTAAGAAGGGAAGGTTAGAAAGATCACAGATCCCCCGGGGAGTTTCTAGGGCCTCTCAACCTTGGCCAGGATCACAGCTCACCTGATTGAGGACATTGGTGTCATGCTGGGCTTGCAGTAAGCTGGTCACCACGGCCATGTGATTGTGGGCCACTGCTAGATGCAGAGGGGACTCTGTGGGCTGAAGACAGGGACCCCAGGATCAACCCAGAGACCCAGGCTGCCTAGGGGTCTGCTCTCTCCTTCTGGGACTGGGAGGCACCGAAGAAGATAGACAGGAAGGGAGGAGCAGCTGGGGTCAGGGAAAGGAAGGAGTAAGAGAGGGTATGGGCAGAACAGGCAGCAGCCAAGGATGCTTTGGGGCCCTAGTGCAAGCTGGTGCACTTCCTGGCCCCTGAGAAGTCAGCCGTGCTGCAGACGGGTTGGTGGGTGCCCAGACATCACCTAGTCCCCATTTTATCATGAACAGTGAGGACCAGAATCTGCCACAGGACTATCAGAGACTAACCCGATCTTCCTGTCCTTTTGTGTTCAGCAAGGAGGGAGGCCAGCAGCACCCCGAGAAGCAGGGGCACCAGAGTGGAGAGGTCAGACTCAGGGTATATCCCTGCCAAGCTTGCTGCCTCAAGGGGGCTGGCACTGCCCCGGGATTAGGAAGTCCAGAGCCAGGTCCTAACGCTGTCATGCCCCACAGCTGTGATGGAGTTTCAACCACAGCCCTGCTCCATGTCCTCAAGGCCCTCGCAGGGAGATGGCACTCACAGGGAACTGCATCTGAAGACACAGGAGCAAACTTAAACAGCAGACCTCAAGACCTGTCTCTGTTCAGGACTTCAATGGCTCAAGTAGTCACATCTCATTTTTGACTGCTGAGGGTTCAGAATCAGTTTTCAGAAGGAGCCAGGCAGCCTTACTGGGGAGAACCCTGGCCCACACCCGCCTGGGTACCTACCCCCAGAGCCACCCCTTGGCCCATACCCACCAGGGTGCCCCCCACAGCGATTCCCCTGGCCCATACCTGCCAGGATGCCCCGCATAGCCACCAGCCCCTCAGCCCGTGTCATGGAGGAGACTTACGCCCGAGCCTGGGTACAGGTCCACATTCTCCCGCAGAAGGAGGTTGACCAGGGCTTTGTGACCATTCCGGGCTGCAGTCTGCAAGGCCCCGACATTGAGCTGAAGGGACAGGGGGACAGGGGAGGGGCTCTGGTGAGGCTCACTCCCTGCTGCTTAGTGCACGGGAATCAGCTGACCCAGGGAGGGTACAGCAGAGGAAAAAGGAAAGCCCAACACCATCCCCACAGGTGTCAGAGCCCTGGGGTGCCCACGTGCAATGGACGAATCCTGGGCCCTGAGAGTGTCAAGTGTCGGAAGAAGCCCTTGCCCCAGGGTGACAGTCCTGGGTGGTGGTGGGACCACACGGTGGGACCCTACAAACGTGGAATCCCAGCCCAGAGAGTAAGACCAGAGAGACACAGGTCCTCATGGTGCCACACAAGAGTTAGCAAGAGGCCCACATGCTTCAAGCCAGGGAGACCTCACCGGAGCCACCCTGCCATCAGCCATTGACCAGCTGTGACGGGAAAAAATGAACACTTGCCATTCAAGGCACAGGGTCATGCAGTGCTTGTGGGAGCACCAGGAGTAAGACTGCCTGTGCAAATGTGGATTAAATCCACTTCCCTTCTTCTGTGTATAAAAGGACTAGAACAAGCTCTGCACCCCCAGAAACCTCTCCACGAGACAAAACAGGTGACTTGGAGCTGGCTACAAAAAATGCCTCAGCAGTTGGGGAGTCAGGGCAGTAGCACGAGAATGGCAGAAGTACCACCCCAGGCATGGTAGCTGCTCCTGCAATTTGCAAGTGCTGCCTCGACTGCTCTGAAGGCACAGGAGGTCAAGGCTCAGAGGCTGAGGGCTGAGCTCTGGCCAGGAGCCCCACACAAGCTCTGAACCCCTGAAATTCTGATCCCATCCAGCGAAGATCTGGTACACGAACGAAAGGTGCTCTGCAGTCACACTGTGGAGAGCTCCTCATGTGCGGGTGCAGCTGGGGCAGGAAGGGGAAATGGGGCTCTGTAGTCACACTGTGGAGAGCCCCCTCATGTGTGGGTGCGGCTGGGGCAGGAAGGGGAACATGGGGTACTCTGCGGAAAATCAATTCCTGCCAACGTGAGGTCTGAAGAGTAGAATCACGTAACATCAAATGTTTTGATCTTGAAGGATTTTCAGAAGAAGAAAGGAGACAGATAGAGCTCTGCAAACGCTGCTGGGTGAGCTCCCCAACTTCTCAAAGGAAATGCAGGCAGCAGTGCAGCCTGGATACCACAGAGCCTCCCATAGGCCAGCAGCAGCCAGGGTCCAGCCTGCCACACCTGAGCTTTCACCAATGCACATCCTTTTCAGCGTTGCTATGCAAGGTAGGTGTGACCAGGGGCCATGGAGAAGCCCTCCTAGGACAAGAGAAGAGCGTCCAGTCTTCAGCGAGTGACAGGTGCCCGCTCCTAACCCCACTGTCAAGAGACTTCCCTCCGGAGAAGCAGAAAAAAGATGTTACTCCAGCAGCAAGTTCACCGTAGGATCTCAGAGGGAAGTCACATGTCCAGCAAACATCATCTCACATGTGTGAACTCCACAAAGTCCTGTAAGTGACCCCCGGAAGCCCACCTTATTTCTAACGTTGATGTCACTTCCCGCCTCCAGGAGTATTTGGCTGCATTCTTCATGACCCTCCTGGACACTCAGGAAGAAGGGCGTCTCTCCATCCTAGCAAAGAAAACTCTGTCAGGGCTGATGGTCCCAGGTGAAGAAGCACAGCACTGAGAACCAGTCCTGTGCACACCCCTGGGTGCTGCTCCCAGTCACAGGCACGCAGAGCAAGACTGCATGGCCACTGTTAGCCCTCACACCTCGGTCCCTTTAGAGCACACCAGAGTACCAAACACTGTACTCACGGCGGAGTAAAGGGAACCCCAGCCAAAGGCTGCTGAGCAGGCTGCACGCCCTGTGTACCAGTGCCCACTCTCCTAAGGATTCCAGCCTGCCCCTGCCACTGTCCATCCCATCACATCCTCACAGTACACTGATGGGGCCAGCAGACACCACTGTGCTTGCTGGAGTCACAGAAGTAGAGAGGACACAGCCCTCAGGGGACAGCCCACAGGGAACACCATCTCAGAAGCTGAGTGATAATTTGCAGTGGGGAAAGTCACTGAATAGGGGAGTGTGGCAGCCAGCATTGTGGGCTTACAACACTGATGTCAGGTTTGAGTTCTTGATGCTCCACTTCTGATGGTGTCCCCAGCTAATGTGCCTGGGAAAGTAGCCAACAGTGGCCCTAGTCCTTAGGTACGAGCACCTCTGTGGGAGATACGGATGAAGCTAATGGTCCAGCCCCAGCTACTGTGGCCATCAGGGGAATGAACCAGTAGAATGCAAGATCTCTCTGTGTGTCTCTCCTTCTCTCAATTTTTAAAAAAGTGATTTCAGTGTTTGACCTCGAGCAGCGACCCTAACCAGCCCCCCAGGATTTTCTCTGCTTAACAACAGTGCTGGACAAGCCCAGGGGGTGCATGCCACAGCAAGCTCAGTGGATCACATGCTAACAGGAAGGGGAGCATGGGAGTCATGTCCTCGTGCACTCCACACTGCTCTTAACCTCACTTCCCACCAATGCACACCCTGGAAGGTAGCAAGCCTGGCTCAAGCGATGGGGTCCCAGGCACCACCAAGAGAGATGATTGGAGTTCTTGCCTGTCAGGTTGGCTCCAGCCCAGCCCCAGCTGCTGTGGGAATTTGTGGAATGAATTAATGGATGAATTTCCATTATTCTGTTTTGCCTCTCAAATACATATGCAATTAAAAAAAAAGATTTGATTTATTTAGTTTTATTGGAAAGGCAGATATACAGAGAGGAAGAGAGACAGAAAGATTCTCTATCCACTGGTTCATTCCCCAAGTGGCCACAATGGCCTAGAGCTGAGCTGATCCAAAGCCAGGAACCCAGGAGCCTCCTTGAGGTCTCCCACGCAGGTGCAGGATCCAAGGCTTTGGACAATCCTCCTACTTTCCCAGGCCACAAGCAGGGAGCTTGATGAGAAATGGGGCAGCCAGGACACGAACTGGTGCCCATATGGGATCCCGGCACATGCAAGGTGAGGACTTTAGCTGCTAGAATCCCATGCTAAGCCCTATACATAATTTTTTATAGGGAAATTTATTTTGCTTTTAAAAAAATCTTGAATTCTTAAAATAAAAATCATGAAAATCCTTGAAATAAAATCTTGAAAATCTTGAAATAAAATAATCAGGGAAAATGTGTATAATGAAAAAATATACATGAAGCATGACTTTCAAAAATTTTGCACCAACATAAACATCTTTTAATTTCGTTTTCCATTACTTTTTTAAAAGGCACCCCACAGAGGTCAGAGTTGTAGCACAGCACATTAAGTTGCTGCCATGATATTAGCACATGGTACCAGAGCACTTGTTCATATCCTGGCTGCTCCACTTCTGATCCAGTTCTCTGCTAGTATACCTGGGAGAATAGCAGAGGATCGCCCAAGGGCTTGGTGCCTTTCTACACATGTGGGAGACCAGGACAGAGTTTCAGGCTTCTGGCTTCTGTCTGGCCCAAGTATAGCCATCATGGCCCTTTAGGGAGAGAGCCAATGCGTAGAAGACTTCTATTTCTCCCTCTGTCACTCTGCCTTTCAAAAAAAAAATTAGAATAAATTCTTAAGATAAATAATACCTCTTTTTTTAAAAAAGATTTATTTACTTTTTATTAGAAAGTCAGATGTACAGAGAGGAAAAGAGACAAAGAGGAAGATCTTCCATCTGATGATTCACTTTCCAAGTGGCGGCAAAAGCTGGAGCTGAGCCAAACTGAAGCTATGAGCCAGGAGCTTCCTCCAGGTGTACCACATGAGTATATGGTTCCAAGGCTTTGGGCCATCCTTGACTGCTTTCCCAGGTCACAAGCAGGGAGCTGGATGTGAAGTGGGACTGCCAGAACACGAGCCAGCACCCATATGGGATCCCGGTGTGTTCAAGGCATGGACTTTAGCCACTAGGCTACCACGTTGAGCTCATAACACCTCTATTATTGCATGCATACAGTATATTTTGCATGCCCTTCTTGTATTTTTAATTTTGAAAATGTACTCATTTTCATCTATTTGATAAAGATTACATGCACACACTGGACCAGATGCTTGCCCAGTCCCCAAATTCTGTCCTGATTGGGCCAGGTTGAAGCCAGGAGCCCAAAACTCCATCCAGGTCTCCCATATGGATGACAGGGCCTCAAGCATCTGAGATGTTACCAGCTGCCTCCCAGACTGTGCACTGGCAGAGAGCTGGACTGTAAGCCAAGCAGGACTCAACCCCATGCACTCTGCCACAGGATGTGGATATGCTGAGTGGTAGCTTAATGCACTGTGCCATACACTTGCCCTTGCATGCCCCTCTTGCCCTATAGGCTTCCAGAATAAGAATAAACTGTCTGGCCTATGGTATATAGGAAGTAAGCATTTGGAATGAATGGGTGAGCACATGAATGTTAACAAGTGAAGACTGGGAGGCTCTCAGGAAAGCAGCAGGAATCTTTGAAATCACGTTTACATTCCCGGCCCTAACTGCTTGGCTTTCCTCCCATCAATTCCCCACTGAAGCCCAGGTCCAGCTGGCAGTGAGCGTATCCATACCTCATTGACTTCGTCCACTCCTTGCCACTGAGTCAGCAGCAGCTGTACAGCTGGACTGTGTCCACTCCTTGCGGCCAAGTGCAGGGCTGTGTTTCCCTCCTGCAACAGAGACATAGGTGCTGAAGATCCATGCCAGGCCACCCTCCTGGGTACTCTCCCTGTAGCCACACTGTGGCCTAGCATGTGGACTGTGTCAGGTGCAATTGTAAGTGAAATTCATAAACCTCTACATCTTCTATGAGAAGACACAGCTATTTAAAAGAGAAGCAAAAGCACCCACATTCCTCATTCTAATTTTGCTACCATCTTGCAGTAAAAAGTGGAGTCCTTGACTCTACCCATGGGAAAATCATCAGAGGAGCAGGTAGATTTGGTGTCTCCTTGGCTCCCTCACTCAGTGAGCAGGGGATGGGTGTCTATCAGGCTGCAGGGAGAGAGATGGGAAACTGGAGCAGGCATTGAACAATCCACAAAGTCTGCCAGTTCCCCAACACCTGTGGGGCGGAGCTGTGGCCAACCCAACAGGGTTCACTTGCACAGCCATGACACCCTCTGCTGACAGCAACCCAGAGCAGTGGTCTGTGACCACAATGCATCAGCAAATCCATACACACCTGCTGCCCCTTCACAGAGCTCAGCTCACCTTGTCCTTCTCTGAGGAATGCAGATTCAAGAAGATGAGTTTTTCTATCATCTCAACATGGCCCCTTGCTGCTGCACAGAGAAATGGTTTTCTTCCTCTCTGAGGATCAAACACAATCATGTTTGTCACACACTCAGTGAACACCAGCAGCTGCTAACATCCCAGGGCCAAGAGCAGGCACCCAGAGCCGCAGGGACTTCCAAGGGCAATGCCACAGATGCAGGGTCCCTAAGAGGCACCCAGACCAGATTCCCTCTCAAACTGGCAGTGTTACAGACTGAGAGACTATGCAGCAGCTCTACAGCTCCTGGCTGAGGCGGCATTCCTCACAGCACCCACAGCGCCCCCAGCTGTGTGGTGTCCTCATAGCACCCACAGCATCTGGCTGGCACAGCACTCTCACAGGACTCACAGCATAACCAGCTTTGCGGCAGCCTCACAGCCTCCAACATGCCCTGCTAAAGTGGCATCCTCAGAGCATTCATGGTGAACCCAGCTGAATTTGTGCATCCTGAGGCGACCCCTGTGGGTTGTGCGTCTGCAACTATGAATGTTCTCACAAGGCCTCAGGCTCGAATCCCGCTTGGGGAGGCCCAAATGACTTTACAACAAAACCTGGAATCCCTTTACACTCAGAATCCCAGTAGTGTGTCAGTGTCAGCCTCACAAAAATAATAAACAAAGCTCAAGGTTACCAAGTAAGGACTCTTATGTCAAATGTCTGGGGGTCTCTGTCCCCAAAAACTCTACCAGAGTCACAGCATGACTCAGAGGACACTGTGACCTCCACAAAGACATCTGCTCAGCTCCTATCCACTTAACCTCGGGCTGCTGTTAGCCCAGTTATTAACCACTGTGGCCAGAGAGTGATGTTCCTGGATATCTGAGGTCATCCTCTTTGTCCCTGGCTTGAAAGGCTTCCCTGGCTCCACTCTCCTTGAACATACCCAGGGTGTGCACCATCTGGCACTGAGATGTACTCAGTGTGTCCCATGTGTACCAGAATTCGCTATGTCAGGAATATCTCATAGTTCATTATGTCACATGTATTGCAGCGGAAGCTACATCAGGAATATCTCCCATTGCTGCTGCCCATTAAATATCATCTTCAGAGTCTTTCTTATATTTGTATTGTTACCAAGGTGATGGTTACCAGAAACTCCTATATATAGCAGAAGTTCCTAGTGGCTGCAGCTGACTCCCCCATTCCGCCTCTCCACCCCATGCCCACATGCTCTCCCTCCCCTTGCTCTGGTAAATTCCCTGAAGTGTCTGTGTGAGCTATGACACTGATCAACTCCCTGGGGCAAAGACAAGGTGGAACTGGGAAAGGGAGGGTGGTTTATCCCACCACCACAAACACACCTTGTCAGCCTGGTTCAGGTCAGTTAGGTGCAGATCCTGAATGAGATAGTCCACAACCAGCACATTGTTGCTCTGAGCTGCAAAGTGGAGAGCATTCATCCCATCCTGCAGACAGCCAGGAGCCAAGTCCTTCACTGTAGCCTCAGCACTTTCTTCTAGCAGAGATGCAAGGGTACAGGGGTGCCCCCACACCCACCTGAGTCTTGGCTCTCTGGTCGGCTCCAGCTTTCACCAGCATGAGCATGGTCTCCAGGCTTCCAGACCAGGCTGCGAGGTGTAACACCGTGAGGCCATGCTTCCCCAGGAGAGAGCAGAGTACCTGTCAGCTTGGCCAGCAGTGATCAAGCTGAGATTCATTGTACACATCAAGAAGAGAATTTAATCTAAAACAAAGATGTTCTCTAACTTCTATAGCATGTATATTACGTGATACAGGCACAGATGGGTTTCCATCTAGAGGGAAAAGTGGGGTGCTGTGTCACACTGCACTCATGGGAGATGAGACACTGCGTGGCATTGAGTACATGAGAAAGTACACAAACAATGAATATCTTAGAACAAACTCAAGACCACAATGCACATTCTTTTAACCCAGAGCTATAGAGGAAAAACACAATAGACAAAATTTCTAAATGTATCAATAACAAGGTAGGTAATTTTCTGATATATGAAGCACTCCTTAAAACCAACAAGAAAAAGCAAATAAACCATTTAAAAATATATGGACAGAAGATCTTATAGGGAGATATGATCTGAAGGAAGCCATGACTGATAAGCCAGCTGGTAGTCTGCTTAAATTGAAAGCAGTCAGCAGGTCAACTGGGTCTCTATCTGAAAATAAAGCCTCAAGACATGATGTTAACTGTGTGAGGGTGTTCACTGTGGCACAAAATCCTGGAGCTAGATGCGTGCGCATCAACATGGGAATGCTGAATAACTAACAGAGTAGTTAGCTCTGGCACATTGCCACTAAAAATAACAAATGGACTTAGAACTATTTCAATGCACTTTGCTAAATATGGGGGAAAAAGACAAAAAAAAAAAAAAAGAGAAACATGTTGGCTATTCTTTACTAAAAAGGAGATGAACAAACCGTGTGTGTGAGCACAGATTCAACTCCATCTACCTACACAGTGTCAGTAACTGGGCAGGTGGATGGATGCAGATGGGGCTGCATGATCACTGGAGAGCACAGAGCCAAGCACGCGCTCAGGTAGAAGAAGAGAAGGCCCCCAAAAGGAGAGAAACAAGAAAGACAAGCCATTTAAGCACATAGGTGAAACTGCACACATAGGTTTCACATAGGTGAAACTGCACACACATACATAAAGTGTCAGGCTGAGAGGTCCTGTTAAGCTGGAGGGATGCAGTGGGAAGCTGTGTGCTGAGCTGAGCAGAGCTTGGCTGTGGGCTGGGTGGAGCTGAAGGGCTGAGAATCAGACCCAGGGCCCTTGGCTCTATGCCACTGATGCAACAGAGAGCAGATGCCATGTGCCTGACTCCAGGCCCCAACTCTGGTCCCTTCCTCCCTTCCTGAAGCTGTGTCTGCTTTCTGGGTCCTGCATTCCTCATCAACACAAGCCCACCACTTCTTTGCTAGCACTGGCCACAGCAAGCAGTCTCAACACAGCCTCCTACCTCTTACCAAACCATCCTGCCTTAGTGAATAGAAGGGTGAGTAAGCAGGACTGGGTGGCCATGGGGTCTTCCTTTATGAAACGTAAGAGGCCTTTGGTTCATGTCTTGTTGTCAGCAGAGTCCAGACAGACTGAGAGATGAGTCCCTGGGCATGGAGGCTGGCTCTCAGCATCCCACGGTTATTGTGACTGTTCCATTTAGGATACATGCTGCCGAAGTGAGCACTGATGTGACTGTTCCGATGGTCACACTTTACAAACTATGGTCCAGGACTGTTTCAGAACAAGAACTTCAGAGTGAGGCTCCCCCTGTGAGGAATTTCTGCTCAGTGAAGGCAGGCAATGGGGAGGCCCTAGGGTCGTAGCTGACCTCAGGCCAGCCAGCCATTCTCTGGCGTCATACAAGCATCCCTGAGTTTCATTTCTACTACATATGCCAACTTTGAGGCAAACTACACTTCCCTGTGTCTAACCTCCTCAACTATGAGTTAGGCATTACAATACAACCTGAGGGGCCAGGCGGCGTGGCTTAACCGCTAAAGTCCTCGCCTTGAACGCACCGGGATCCCATATGGGCGCCGGTTCTAATCCTGGCAGCTCCACTTCCCATCCAGCTCCTTGCTTGTGGCCTGGGAAAGCAGTTGAGGACGGCCCAAAGCCTTGGGAGCCTGCACCCGTGTGGGAGACCCGGAAGAAGTTCCTGGATCCTGGCTTTGGATCAGTATAGTATCAGCCATTGTGGCCACTCGGGGAGTGAATCATCAGATGGAAGATCTTCTTCTCTGTCTCTCCTCCTCTCTGTATATCTGACTTTCCAATAAATAAATCTTAAAAAAAAAAATGTACAATACAACCTGAGGCACCTGGGACCAGGGCTGTTTGGATTTCAGGTCACACCCTGATGAGGTAGCTTGGGGGATAGAATGGAATTTAGATGCTTTCCATCACACTCTACCTGTGATCATCAAAGGTGGTTCTACACAGATTTCGGTATTTCAGTGCACCCATGTGCTGGATGTCAGCACTCATAGATAAGATTTGAGAACTTTGAGAGTTTCACACTTGCAGATGAGGGAGGCAGAACTTCAGTTTTAGCCTTTAGCTCTTTCCTAAGGCAGCACATAAGATTTGAATCTATGACACCTCCTTGTAGCCCTTTGCACAGCTTGAATCTCACATCTGCATTTAGCACCAGAGTTCATATGGGAAAGAGAATTTAATGTCCCCAGGGCTAGCATGCTCACATCTTCCATGCACCAGAACCCAGCCTGGACCATCCTCTCACACATGTGTTGTTGGTTGCCAGATCATTGTGGGGGAAATAAGCAAGAAGCCAAGACCCCCAGGTGACAGTAAGAAAATCCACAGAGGACACCACATACACCCTCTCCAAAGAGCTCTCCATCAAGTGGAACATGAGTACAGGTGAATCAGGGTTGCTTGGCCAGATGCTGACCAGCCTACCTTATCAGCAATATCCACCCTGGCCTTGTGATTCAACAGGAAGTCCACGGCTGACAAATGGTTTCTCGCAACGGCAAAGTGAAGGGCTGTGCGGTTCATCTGAGGAGAAAGCAAGCCAGCCCTCTGACCTGGGCTGAGGTAGGGGGCCTCATGTGTTAGCGGCAGCCATTTTGTTCCACACGTACCACGCGGCTTCACACTCCCTTATCTTCTGAATTAGGACACTATTGGAGAGAGATGTTACCCAGTCGCCCCGTTGTCCAGTCTGCAGTAAGAAATCTTGCTTTCTCAGACATATGAGGCCACGCTGCACTCCAGGCCACTACTCAGGACCCCAGATATGGCCTTTAACCTGAACTTGGGTCCTGTGTCCATCCACACAGACTTTGCAGGCATGCATAAAACCCTGGGTACTTGCCCCAGTCTGTTCCATGGCTGATTGCCATCCTGGGATCATCAACAAGGGCCACCCCCTTGCCTTGGCAGCCTACCCTCCATCTTTCATTATGATTCCAGATGACCTGTTCAGCTCCAGTCCACTGGAGACCTGCCCACCTGTGACCTCACTCACACTGTTGACAGCATTGATGTTAACCTTCTTCGCAAACAGCTTCTCCATCAGGTCCAAGTCATTGCTCTTGGCAGCATCCTGAAAGCGTCTCTCACTGGGCAGTACTGAAAGAGAACAAGCCAGGCTGACAAGGGAACAGCAAAGACCTAGAGAGGAAGAGCACCCTGGAACTCAGGAACAATGGCCTGGGTCCCCAACCGTCTGCCTCCAAGGAGGGCAGCAGGGCCTCACTCCTTGGTAAAGCTACCATGGCAAGATCCATTTCATCTTCTCTAGTTGTTTCTTACCCTAAAGTTATTCCTGGCTCCCAAACAAACCATTGCTCACAGGCTCACCCTGAAATCATGGTTTGTAAAAATGTGTGTAAGGTTAGGCAGGGAGGAGTCCCAAGGCTGCAGCAGCTAGCCCAGAGATAAGGTACAGATGCCAGCCCTGCAGGGACCAAACCCTAAACCGCAGCCCATTTCACATCACACATATAAACATGCTTCCCTGGAGGGTATGAAAGCATAGCCAAGCCCTCGGCAAACACCACTCATCACACACCATCAAGCATTCCACAGCTGCATGACTACAAGATTTCCTCAGCTTTCTGTCATGGCGGAGTGTCAGGCCATCCTTTCTGGGAGGGATCCCTGAGGCATACCTGCTGCCAAGTGGTCTTCCTGAGTCTCACCCCTCCAAGTTCAGGCAAGGACAAGCAACTTCTCCAGGAGAGAGGAGCCATGTCCCACAACGGCCTCCCTCCCTGGTATCTCCGAGTGGCACCTGTCTCTGGAAGCCTTTAAAGAACAGGCAGCACAAGGGATGCCCCTACATGAGAGGAGTCTGGGGCACAGATGCACAAAGCAGAAATCACAGCAGGGGAAGGCAGCTGACTACAAGCCAAGCACTATCTGTGGCACCTTCTTCCACCACTGCTAGCACTGACATGGACTGACAATTTTTATTCTACCACCTGGAACCCTCTGCTACTGCCACTCGTTTCCATCCTTGAGGATGGTTAACCCAGCGGTTAGCCTCTCAGTTCCCATACCCTTAACTCATTTCAGCTACCATCTGCTCAACATAATCAAAACACCCAATTCTCCCATCCTTTCAGCTCATGTGCTCTAGCTCCCCAAGACTGGGCATTCTGCCACCTTCTCAAGCCGTCAGCTCACTTGCATAACCATCGAGTCCTCCGGCCCAGCTGTGGGGAATGCTTCCCAGGCCACTTTGGTCCAACAGCCCTGGAAAACCCACACGAACGCTGGCTTCCCTGCTACTGTGGACAATGGTCTCAGCAGGATGTTCACGGCTGCCTGTTATGCTCCCATTCCTGGGCTCTGGGCCCAGTCCCTTCATGTTTTCAATAATTCCACATCAGCCTCCTAGAAATCAGTGCTCCACCGCCCAGATTTATCTCCCAACCCCAGGTTAACCCCCCACACACCGCAGAGGCTGCACACTAAAACCTGTGTTCCTCTCCAACTGCTGCACCACTGTTCAACTCCCTGTCACCTTATACCTCTTAGGTCTCAGTCCTTTGTGGAAAATCAGCTACCCTCTAGAGCCCAGAGCACAGCAGGGCTCCTGGGCAGGGTCTCTGGGCAGCACCCCAGCACTGGGAAGACATCATAGAATGGGAGGGGGCAAGCTCATGGGAGTGCACCTCTTATAGCCACCTCAAAGGATGCCCTCCTCCATGAATCTGTGAGGGTGAGAATTCTGTGAAGGACTGCTGGCAGCCTGCATGGGTGCGGAGTCCTCTATACACGTGGCCAAGAAGGAGTGCAGGCCTAGTGTGCCCAGACTCTCCCAACATAGATCAGAAAGGAACTCAGAAACAACTTTGAACCAAGTGACGCTGAAAATAAAATACATCAATATATGTGGGATGAAGTAAAAGTGTGACTAGAAGGAAATACATAGCACTAAATGATTATAAAAAAGAAAGGTCTTCACCAATAAACTAATGGTCCTGCCTTAAAAGAGAAAAAAGCAAAGCAAGCCCAAAACAAGCAAGGAGAAAATCACAAAAGTAAAAGCAGTGACCAGTGAAACTGAAAACCACAAAATGACAAAGGTCAACAAACCAAGAGAGAATATCACTGAATCAATAAATCTGTAGCCACATTAACCATGAAGACAAGACACAAATGTCCAACCCCAGGAGAGGGCACACATCTCTGAAGCCCTTGGACAGGAAATAGGTCTCCAGGGAACTACATGTCCAACTTCACCTATACGAATTCCATGAAAATCACAAATCACAACTCATGCAGGATTATACCGATTATCCAAATGACCCTGTAATTAGTAAGAAAATTGAATTTTTAGTTTAAATGTTGCGAAAAATTAATTTCCAAGTTCAGGTGGCTTCATCAGTGAATTTTCCCAAATGTTTAAAGGTCAAAAGCAACTTGACCTCATCCCTCCCTAACTCATTTCTGGGGTCCAGCATGTAGCTGACGCTAAACCCAAGTGTCTGCAAGGGTAGAAAAGTCTAAGCCAGTCTCCCTCATGAACACAACATGCAGAACTTTTAGGAGATATGTTATCAAGCCACATTCAATGGCAAATAAAAAGTAGAACACACATTGATCATGCAGGGCTTGACTTGAAAGCTACAAAATCCTCCAGAGCAGCAGGCTACAGAAGAAAAGCTATGGGATCTCACCAACCACATGGAGGAAGCACTCAAGAAGTAGACGCTCAAGTAGACACCAAAGCACAAAGCTATCTGCACTCAGGGCCAGGTGAGGGCGGGAGACCCCCTGACTCTCAAGGCTCACAGTAAAGGCTTACTACAGGCGAGACAGGACGGGGTAGAGCCTGAAAAACATACTGCCAACTCCTAGCCCAAGGGGTCCCTGCCTGATGAAGGAACTCACTGACCAGAGAGAGCCATACAGTGGTCCCACAGGGTTGAGTCTGTGGACTGAAGGAGTCATTGCTGATAAGAACCTTGATGGCAAGTACTGTGGGGAGGGACTTAGGGAAATTCCACACCCCAAATTCTTCACACACACCGTCCCAGAAGGACACACTGGTGTCTGAAAACCCCAGTCTGACTGCAGACAGGGCTCTCCTTCCTTTACTGAGACACTTTCTGCTTTAGCTCTGCCAGGTGCAGGAATTTCTATCTCCACTCTTCTTAGTAAAACTCGATGTAAGGCCAGGCGTGGTAGCTTTAGTAGCTAAAGTCCTCCCCTTGCCACACCAGGATCCCATATGGGTGTCGGTTCTAATTCTAATCCCGGTGGCCCTGCTTCCTATCCAGTTCCTTGCCTGTGTCCTGGGAAAGCAGTTGAGGATGGCCCAATGCTTTGGGACCCTGCACCCAGGTGGGAGACCTGGAAGAAGACACAGGCTATTGGCTTTGGATAAGCTCAGCTATGGCTGTTGCAGCCAGTTGGGGAGTGAATCATCAGACCTAAGAGCTTAAAAAAAAAAACAAAACAAAAAAAACCTCGATGTAACATGAATTTGTCTCCTTGTGTCTCGTGAATCAGACGATAGAAGAGGTCAAAGTAAAAAAAAAGTCACATATATGCAATAGAACATGTACAGGTTCCCTATATCAAAGAAAACAAACAAAATGAAGACTGAAACGAGAACCGGGGTGGGGTCCACAGGCGAAGAAATGCAACCTGACTTCTCCAGGCGAGGGCCCAGAGCGCAGGGAAACACTGCCAGGCACCGAGATGAAGTCCCCGCTGAGCACACAGTCCCTACCGTTTCCCCAGAGCGCCTCACAGGGGGGTGGGAGCACGCGTTCCTCCAGGGCCTGGAGTCTGCAAGCCTCACTGAAGCCCCAAGTCCAGGAGGCACTGGGCACCCAGCCCACCCCAAACTCACAGCCCTCGGGGTCCGCGTCCGCAGCCTTCTGCTCCTGAGGTCCCTGCCTCTCCCGCCTCTGCCACACGCGGTGCATGGCCATGCTCGGTCCGTTGGTACCTGTGTCCTGTGTCTTCCCGCCTCCCTGTCTCTTTGGTCTTGGGCGGGACACCCACAGGCCCTGCCCGAGCTGGGTTTATCAGTTAGGGTCCGCCCCAACCTGCCCCAACCCTAATCTTAACGTGCACCAGGGCAGCTTTGAGTTCTATGCCATCTGGGAAGCGTCTACTGGGATTGATCTCAACCTGGCTGTAACTTGAGTATTACACCATTACTAAACAGGCTCCAGAATTTTACTCCGAATAAATCTACATTTCTCCCATTTGAAAACTATAGCATTATCTGAAACTCTAATTCAGGGACCAGCTGTAACTGCCTTTCAAATGAATAATTAAAAAAAGAAAAACATTTACTTATTTTTGCTGGAAAGGCAGATTTTACAGAGAAGAGAGAGAGGAAACCTTCCATCTGCTGGTTCACTACCCAAGTGGCTGCAATGGTCAGGAGCTGAGCTGACCTCAAATGAGGAGCTAGGAGCTTCCCTGGGGTCTCCCATGCAGATGCAGGGTCCCAAGGCTTTGGGCTATCTTGTACCACTTCCTCAGGGCACAAGCAGGGAGCTGGATAGATGTAGAGCAGTTGAGACACAAACCAGCGCAGATATGGGATCCTGATGCATGGAAGGTGAGGACTTTAACCACTAGGCTATTATGCCAGGCCCATTTTAAAAAAGATTTATTTAATTTTACTGGGAGGGTAGATTTACAAAGAGGAGTGACGAGAAAGCTCTTACATTTGTTGGTTTACACAAGTGGCTGCAACAGTAGGAGCTGAGCCAGTCCAAAGTCAGAAGCCAGGAGCTTCTTCCAGGTCTGTGGCACGGGTACAGGGTCCCAAGGCCTTGGACCATCCTCCACTGCTTTCCCAGGCCACAAGCAGGGGGGTGGATGCGCAATGGGGCAGCCCATTAGGCATGCTGGTGCCACAGAATAGAGGATAAGCCTGTTGAACCATGGCACCAACCTCTCAAACAAATCTTAAAAAAAAAAAAAAAGATTAAAATCCTTAAATACTAGAGGGAATCTTCATTTGGAATTCTTTTCATTAACTAATGAAATACGTTTCATTTTCATATAAATTTCAATGTTCATCTTCAACATACACGTTTTTCCTTTACATATTTCTTCATTAGTGGAAAACAAACACACGGCAAAATGTTGTGTCGAGGACGACTCCTATAATTTCAGACTCTCCTTGAATGACAATATGAATAGGGCCTGCTGTTGGAAGCACTGCAGCGTGGGAGTCACCTCTGGGCCCTCCGGGGGCACAAGGGCCGACCCCAGCTTCCCGCTGTGCACAGGGAAGTGGCCTGCTTGAGTGCAGCCCTGGCTGTGGGTGTTCCGGGAGTGTACTAGGGAACGGAAGGTAGGCATCAGTCCCTCTCTCCCCCACTGTGTATGTGTGTGTTTGCCTTTCAACAAAAATTTCTAAATAGCAAATATACGGAATAGAAAGCATTATCTGTTTATATACTAATATGTAGATGGAAAAACAGGACAGAAAGTGAAATACATCTATATACTCATTCACAGCTAAAATTCTAAAAATCAGAAGAGAAACACAGGAAGTGCGCAGTGGAAAAACGATGTCAGGACGGACTAGAAAGTAATTCAGGTCCCTCAATGGCCTCCAATTCTAACCCGGGGAACGTGGTTAGAACCCTCAGTCAGCCAGCCTCCTCACGTGGTGGCTTTCCCTGAGGAAAAAGGTCATCACCCTGAGGGCGGCTGCAACCGGGTTCCTACTCAGGGTGCGCCAGCCTCCTTCCCTCATCCCCTCAGCCCACGCCTTCTCTCAGCCCCTCAGTCCCTCGTCCCGCCGTCTTCCCTCAGTCCCTCATCCCGCCGTCTTCCCTCAGTCCCTCATCCCGCCGCCTTCCCTTCAGCCCCTCAGCCCCTCGTCCCGCCGTCTTCCCTCAGTCCCTCATCCCGCCGCCTTCCCTTCAGCCCCTCAGCCCCTCGTCCCGCCACCTTCC